ACCCCCATGTCACTGGACCACACCCCCATGTGACTGGACCACACCCCCATGTGACTGGACCACACCCCCATGTGACTGGACCACACCCCCATGTGACTGGACCACACCCCCATGTGACTGGACCACACCCCCATGTCACTGGACCACACCCCCATGTGACTGGACCACACCCCCATGTGACTGGACCACACCCCCATGTGACTGGACCACACCCCCATGTGACTGGACCACACCCCCATGTGACTGGACCACACCCCCATGTGACTGGACCACACCCCCATGTCACTGGACCACACCCCCATGTCACTGGACCACACCCCCATGTCACTGGACCACACCCCCATGTGACTGGACCACACCCCCATGTGACTGGACCACACCCCCATGTGACTGGACCACACCCCCATGTCACTGGACCACACCCCCATGTGACTGGACCACACCCCCATGTGACTGGACCACACCCCCATGTGACTGGACCACACCCCCATGTCACTGGACCACACCCCCATGTGACTGGACCACACCCCCATGTCACTGGACCACACCCCCATGTCACTGGACCACACCCCCATGTGACTGGACCACACCCCCATGTCACTGGACCACACCCCCATGTCACTGGACCACACCCCCATGTCATTGGACCACACCCCCATGTCACTGGACCACACCCCCATGTGACTGGACCACACCCCCATGTCACTGGACCACACCCCCATGTCACTGGACCACACCCCCATGTCATTGGACCACACCCCCATGTGACTGGACCACACCCCCATGTGACTGGACCACACCCCCATGTCACTGGACCACACCCCCATGTCACTGGACCACACCCCCATGTCACTGGACCACACCCCCATGTCACTGGACCACACCCCCATGTCATTGGACCACACCCCCATGTCATTGGACCACACCCCCATGTCATTGGACCACACCCCCATGTCATTGGACCACACCCCCATGTCACTGGACCACACCCCCATGTCATTGGACCACACCCCCATGTCACTGGACCACACCCCCATGTCACTGGACCACACCCCCATGTGACTGGACCACACCCCCATGTGACTGGACCACACCCCCATGTCACTGGACCACACCCCCATGTCACTGGACCACACCCCCATGTCACTGGACCACACCCCCATGTGACTGGACCACACCCCCATGTCACTGGACCACACCCCCATGTGACTGGACCACACCCCCATGTCACTGGACCACACCCCCATGTCACTGGACCACACCCCCATGTGACTGGACCACACCCCCATGTCACTGGACCACACCCCCATGTGACTGGACCACACCCCCATGTCACTGGACCACACCCCCATGTCACTGGACCACACCCCCATGTCATTGGACCACACCCCCATGTGACTGGACCACACCCCCATGTGACTGGACCACACCCCCATGTCACTGGACCACAACCCCATGTCACTGGACCACACCCCCATGTCATTGGACCACACCCCCATGTCATTGGACCACACCCCCATGTCATTGGACCACACCCCCATGTCATTGGACCACACCCCCATGTCACTGGACCACACCCCCATGTCATTGGACCACACCCCCATGTCACTGGACCACACCCCCATGTCACTGGACCACACCCCCATGTCATTGGACCACACCCCCATGTGACTGGACCACACCCCCATGTGACTGGACCACACCCCCATGTCACTGGACCACACCCCCATGTCACTGGACCACACCCCCATGTGACTGGACCACACCCCCATGTCACTGGACCACACCCCCATGTCACTGGACCACACCCCCATGTCATTGGACCACACCCCCATGTGACTGGACCACACCCCCATGTCACTGGACCACACCCCCATGTCACTGGACCACACCCCCATGTCACTGGACCACACCCCCATGTCATTGGACCACACCCCCATGTCATTGGACCACACCCCCATGTCATTGGACCACACCCCCATGTCATTGGACCACACCCCCATGTCACTGGACCACACCCCCATGTCATTGGACCACACCCCCATGTCACTGGACCACACCCCCATGTCACTGGACCACACCCCCATGTCACTGGACCACACCCCCATGTGACTGGACCACACCCCCATGTCACTGGACCACACCCCCATGTGACTGGACCACACCCCCATGTGACTGGACCACACCCCCATGTCACTGGACCACACCCCCATGTCACTGGACCACACCCCCATGTCATTGGACCACACCCCCATGTGACTGGACCACACCCCCATGTGACTGGACCACACCCCCATGTCACTGGACCACACCCCCATGTCACTGGACCACACCCCCATGTCACTGGACCACACCCCCATGTCATTGGACCACACCCCCATGTCATTGGACCACACCCCCATGTCATTGGACCACACCCCCATGTCACTGGACCACACCCCCTGCTATCGTGCAGTAAGTCACTGCCAGGTGCCTGGCAGGTCGAATGCACGACGGAACAAGGGTGGGGTGAGGGCAGGTAACAATGGGGTGAGGCCAGGTAACAATGGGTTGAATTTGGTGTGGGAGAGAACTCCCGGAGGATCCTTTGATTCCATCCTTTGATTCCAGCGGTTGCACGGTCTCAAGGGTCGGCAGGGCGAGCTTACTTGGATGAGCCTTTGATGCGGCGGCGGAATAGAGAACAGAGGGTGTGGGAGGAAGAGGGAGGGGTTGTGGGGAGTAAGGGACGGCAGGGCAGGGCGAGCTTACTTGGAGGAGCCTTTAATGCAGCGGCGGAATAGGGGCAGCCCCATGCACGTGGCGTATGCTGCAATCACCTGAGTTGGCTTTTGAGCGACTCAAAAGTCAGCTCTGAGGGAAGGGCGAGCTTACTTGGAGGAGCCTTTGATGCGGCGGCGGAATAGGGGCAGCCCCATGCACGTGGCGTATGCTGCAATCACCTGATGGCCCACCTGAAACCAACAGAGAAGGCAGGGGTGGTGGGAAAAAGGGAGGGGTGGGGCGAAGGCTGGAATCACCTGGAAGACCCCTGAAAGCACACAAGTAAGCACAAGTGAAAAGAGCGTGAATTACGCGTCGACCTACAGTCGACCATACGTAAAAGTGCAGCAGGTGATTCAGCGACATACGGTTTGGAACATGAAACTGTCCAGCTCGTCCGTTTCATCGTCTGATGGCAGCAGATTCGCCAATGCCACCACCTGATGCCATGCCATGCCATGCCATGCCACACCACTCATGCCATGCCATCCCATTCCATCACTCTCCATGCCATCCCATTCCATTGCATGTCATGCCATCCCACCCATGCCATGCCATGCCATTCCATGCCATCACAACCGATGCCATGCCACACATCCCATCCCATCCAAGCCACCGCATCCCCTCCCATGCAATGCCACATGATGCCATTCCATACGACAAGCTTGAGCACGTAGATTGAGTATCGGGATTAGAATCACAACCACAAGCAAAAGCTGGGGGTTTAAGGTTGAGGGTTGGGGATTTAAAGGTTCAGAGAAACAACTTGAAGGTTTCGGGTTGTAAGCCTAGCTTGGGATGACCCCACCCCTGATTGGTTGGGATTGTGGGGGGTTCAAAGCGGAATGTGGGGTAGGGAGGGGCAAGCAATACTCTGGTCCGAAACGCCTCTGAACGTTGGGATGTTTGGACGCTTCGAATCGGATGCGAAGGAACGTTGGGTTTGTGCACTCCAATAGTGAAGGTACGGTTACAGTGATCATGGTGAGGCGGGGCATTATGGGGGATGGGGATGGCATGCTAAAGCACCGTCCTTTCGACGACTCTCTGTTATCCCGTCTCTACATCGCGTACGCCACGCACCTCATGTCCATAACGCGTACACTCCATCATGTTGAAACAGCTGTCCTTCCCCCCGCTCACTAACGCCACCACCTTCATCGCGCCAAGCCAATAACGGGGATGAAAACGAAGAAGCGGCAAGAGAAGTCTAGAAAACTGAGTGTTCGACTCAGAAATCACCAAGTCCTGGCGTTATATCCTTAATGCAGTTAACGTAATGGACTAGCGTTCGCGCCTGTTTGCGTCTTAACAGCCGGGAGCTGACTCCTTATAACGCGCCACGAGGTTCAAAAACGTCTCACTCGCGCATGGGGAGAGGGACTTGGACGGAATAAGATAAACCACGTGGAGCTTTGGTTTGGAGGAGTGAAAGAGCGTCGAAAATATCGGTAAAGAACAGTTCCAAAATGAGACAGATGGGTGAGGGGGTGGCTAGGCGTGTTTCAAATGACTTCCCAAGTCATGAAACTTGACTTCCGGGTTCGGAACCCGGTGTCATGACATGACATGACACGATGAGTGTGAATGACGGCGTGTCACCCTACAAGGCACTCGAACACGTGTCAGCATTCCATAATGTGGGCAAGAAATGTATCGTCCAGCGAAACAATTTCGACACAAGTGAAGGCAGTTACCGAAACTCCTGACACGCCACCCTGACACCGTGCCGTGATGGAATATGAAGAGATTCGAAAAAAACTCGATTTTTTCGCAAAAGCTCGTCAACGGGCATGCGAAAGTACAGTCGATTCACCCACATACTTGTAAGTGTTTATCGGTATTTCGCGGTAAATCGAGATCTGGCATGGTCAGGTCTGGTACTCAGCATCGGGTCAAATAGGATCTCACAAACAGCCACCCCTGGCGAGACCTGGAATTTGAATGCAAGTGTCGCAGACGGAAAAGCGATGCGATCTCATCGACCAATCTAGATTCTATCTGTCAGGCCGTTGCGTTTCGCCGTCGACCTCCGTTATCGTCCAGCTGTCCTTCTTCGTCGCTGATCATCGCACGGCCTTCCGTGATGATATTTTAGTCCTACCAGGTGGATTTGATTCTTCAAGCTCGCCTGCTCCCTACTCCTTGCTCTGTGCGCCCTGCGCGCTGCTTCCTGGGCGCTCCGACCGTTGCCCTGCGCGCTCCGACATTTGCCTTCCGCCATGAGCGTTCCGCCGATGAGTGCCGCCGCGGTGGCGGCGTTCGGCGGGAAGCTGCTGGAGGAGCCGCGGCGGCGGGGAATCGAGATCGGCGGGTGGCGCATCGAGTGCCGCCACGAACCGATCCTCACCGCTGAAGAAACGGAAGCGTGAGACGCGACAGCGATTTAATTTCCTTTCGATTGAAGTATCATGATCCGCAGAAAACGCATCGAGTGCCGCCACGAACCGATCCTCACCGCTGAAGAAACGGAAGCGTGAGTCGCGGCAGCGATTCGCTTTTTGTTTCAAATCTAGTGCTCCGAGATGATTTCAAGATCCCAGGGCAACGAATCGAGAATTCTCAAATCTCCCTCCCTCACACGCCCCTTCCCCCACATCTCTCTCTCCTCGTCCCCGACCCCCCGTCTCCCGCAGGTGGCAAAACAGCCTCTCCTCCCAGTGGCTTCCGGAGATGGTGTTCAGAAAGAGCAGCCTGCGTGCGGAGCACCTTACCACGGGCGCGGGCGTGCAGCTGGGGGCGCGTGAGGGGGTTTTCCGTCCCTTCACACGCCTCTTCCCCGACACTTATCCCCGCTTCGTCCCTCCCCGTCCCCACCAGGTGGCAAGCTTCTCTTTCCTCGCAGTGGCTCCGTGAGATGGTCTTTGGGAAGATCTGCGTGCGCGCGCAACACCTTGCCACGGGTATGGGCATGCAGTTGGGTTGCAATGGAGCCCCTCTTCTTCCATTCACATTCCCCTCCCCACTCCCCGTCTCCCCCAGGTGGCAAGCTTCTCTCTCCTCGCAGTGGCTCCCGGAAATGGTCTTTGGGAGGAGCAGCCCGCGAGCGCAACACCTTGCCACGGGCGTGGGCGTGCAGCTGGGGGCGATATAAGAGGTTTTGCCTCCCTCTCACACATCCGTTCTCACACATCCGTTCCCCACACCTTTCCCACCTCGTCCCGCCTCCCCCAGGTGGCAAAAAACCCTCTCCTCGCAGTGGCTCCCCGAGATGGTGTTTGGGAAGAGCTGCCTGCGCGCGCAACACCTTGCCACGGGCGTGGGCGTGCAGTTGGGGGCGCTGGAGGCGCTGAGGGGGTGGAAGGAGGGCAAGCTGCCGCCTGTGAAGGTGCCTGCTGCTGCCGCGTGGGGGAAGAGAAGGTGAGGAGGCGTAAGGTATGGGTTCCATTAGAGCTGCCTGCGCATGCAGCACCTGGGTGAGAAGCCGTATGGTATGGGTTATATTAGAGACCTGGGCACGGGACGGGCGTGGGCGTGCAGCTGGGGGCGCTGGAGGCGCTGGGGAGGTGGAAGGCGGCGAAGCTTCCGCCTGTGAAAGTGCCTGCTGCTGCTGCATGGGGGAAGAGAAGGTGAGGGGGGGTCGGGGGGGGGAGTGGGTTGTTGCGGTTTTGGGGGAGAGGGGCCAGTGTTTAAGCACACGTGAAGGGGTATGGAATGATGCATGGGTGGGGGTCGCTGATGGGTTGGGAGGGGTGGGCTCCGCTTGTGAAAGTGCCTGCTGCTGCCGTATGGGGGAAGAGAAGGTGAGTGGAGTGTCAGCAAGAAGAGTTGAGGGGAGAGTGGGGAAGAGGACTTAAAGGTGGGTATGGGAGCGAAGGGAAAGGGAGGGATTGTGGGGAAGGAAGGTGTACTGTGATTACACCTTCACCACCCGCTACTGCTACTTACGCCCCTTGCTTTGTGGCACTGTCCTCTCTCCCACCTGATCTCACCCCACCCCACCCCACCCCACCCCACCCCACCCCACCCACCCCACCCCATCCCACCCTCCAGCTGCCCATCAACTGATATCGTTCTTGATCACAAATACACCTTCACCACCCCCTACTGCGGCTTATGCGCTTTCTGTGTTCCGTGTCTCACCCCACCCCATCCCACCCTCCAGCTGCCCATCAACTGATATCATTCTTGATTATAAATACATTTTCACCACCCCCTACTGCGGCTTACGCGCTTTCTGTGTTTCGTGTCTCACCCCAGCCCAACCCACCTCACCCCACCCCATCCCATCCCATCCCATCCCATCCCATCCCATCCCATCCCATCCCATCCCGCCCCACTCCAACCGTTCCTCCAGCTGCCCATCCACGGAGCTGGACTATGTTCACACCTTCACCACGGCCTACTGCGGTTTAAGTGCTGTCCTTGTCCCATGTCTCAACCCACCCCACCCCACCCCACCCCACCCCTCCCCACCCCACCCCATCCCCCAGCTGCCCATCCACGGATATCATTCTCAACTATGATTACACCTTCACCACGTGCCTTCCTTGTCCCATGTCTCACCCCACCCACTCTACCCCACCCCACCCCACCCCACCCCACCCCACCCCACTGCACCCCACCCACCCCATCCCCCAGCTGCCCATCCACGGATATCATTCTCGACTATGATTACACCTTCACCACCCCTTACTGCGGCTCCATTCTCACCAGTAGCAGCGCTTCTCTTTCCCCTCAGAGCAGCATGGCCGGCGGCAGCAGCAGCAGCCACAGCGCCCAAACCACCCGCACAACTGCTGATGTCAGCGCACCCCTTGCGTCACGTGTTGCTGACATCAGCATCAGCAATGCTGACGTGAGGAGGCATGGCACCAACGAAGGTCGAGAGGGGGAAGGGGAGGAAAGGGCGAGAGTGAGAGCAGAGGGTGAGGAAGTGATGAGGAAGGGAGAGGTGGTGGGGGATTCAGCAGGGGAGGCAGCAGGGGCAGCAGCAGGGGTGGTGAGGGAGGTGCAAACCGTCTGGCCTCAATCAGATGCTGCTGCTGCTGCTGCTGCTGTGGATTCTGGGGGAGGAGGGGGAGGGGGAGAGGGAGAGGGGGGTAGCGTGGAAAAAATCAGTGGAAGGACGGATGGGAGAGAGCAGAAGGGGAGTGGGGGAGGAGGGGGAGGAGAAAGGGGGGCAGGGGGAGGAGGGGAGTGGGAGGCGGAGTGGGTGGCATGTGGGGAGGGCGAGGGCATTGACTGGGCCATGCTGCAACGCCGCGACCCCATCCTATTCTCTGATGAGGTACTCATGGTTGGGATGCAGTGATGTGCGATGTTGAGAATGAGGAGGTGGCCGGCTGGCAAGGCAATATTGTTGGCCAACATCGTTCACATGCTACTTACGCGTATGATGTGGCATCGTCTGGTGTGATATAGTGATGGTGCGATGGGGTGATGAGGCCCAGCTGGGCGGGTGTCATCGGGCGAGGCAATGTTGTTTCTGGTTCGGTCAACATCGTTCATCTGCCGCTCACATGCACACGACCTCACAGGCTTGGCTCACCATCTGCCAAGAGATTGAAGGATTCAAACCTCCCGCTCCAAGCCAAGAGACCAGAGCTACTGAACCACAGCCTCTTATCCTGGGGTATCCTCTTGGCTTGGCAAAGGCCCTTGATAAGTCTCATTCAGTAACGGAACTAGTAAATGCCGAGCCCAAGGGGCCAGATTTACTGAACCGCAGCAACACAAGGGACTCCTCTTGCTTTGGCCAAGGTCCCTTGATAAGTCTTATTCAGTAAAATGCGCTCTTTGTCTCCCCGCTGCCTAACGTCCCGCCCTCTCTGCCCCTTATGTATCTCCCATCCCACCAGGCGATGCTGTCCGAGGATGAGTTGGCCGGCATTACAGTCGTCTCGAAGTTTCCTTTGCACGCTCGCCTTGCTTGCTCATACCGCCATACCCAACCTCCCATGCACCTGCCATTCCACCAGGCGATGCTGTCTGAGGATGAGTTGCCCGACAGTGGCATCTGAGTCGAGTTGACTCAAGGGTTCCTTTGTGCGCTTTCCTTGTCTGCTCATACCGCCACGCCACACCCAACCTCCCGCCCCGTCTATCTCCCATCCCATCCCATCCCATCCCATCCCATCCCATCCCATCCCATCCCATCCCATCCCATCCCATCCCATCCCATCCCATCCCATCCCATCCCATCCCATCCCATCCCATCCCATCCCATTCCATCCCATCCCATCCCATCCCATTCCATCCCATCCCATCCCATCCCATTCCATCCCATCCCATCCCATCCCATCCCATCCCATCCCATCCCATCCCATCCCATCCCATCCCATCCCATCCCATCCCATCCCATCCCATCCCATTCCATCCCACCAGGTGGTGCTGTATGAGGACGAGCTGGCCGATAGTGGCATTTCCCTCCTCACTGCCAGAGCCGTGAGTACCACCCACCCTGCTCTTCCGCCCTCCCCCGCTCCTACAACCCTTCTCCTCCTGCAAGGAAGATTGGTTACGGGGTGCTGTAGATTCAGCCCCAGTTAAAAAAAAAAAAAAAAAAAAAAAACTAACTACGCAGCAGCTGTCCTGGGCTGTTTCCAAGACACCTGAATGGCTTGAACTATGGCTTTGTATGGGTATGTGTATGTGTATGCATATGTATATGTTGTATATGTACACATAAGCATGCATAACATTATGTAGATAAACCATTTTCTTGTTATATATGTACACAACGGTATCTGCATCCCTCACTCTCCTCATTCCCTTTCATGATATTTATATGCCCTTCTTTCAATTGGTTGCCGACGCCCCTGTCACTGGGAGAGCAGAGGGTCATGCCAACCTGCTGGTTCATCCTTGAGTAACTAATAAGATACTTCTTTTTCTTACTTACCCACCCTTGGCACTGAACGCAGAGGGTCATGCCAACTTGCTGTACTTCCTCGAGTCAACCAAGTTAGCTTTTTGACTTCTTTTTCCTTTCTTGCCATCCCTGCCTTTCACTGAATGCAGAGGGTCATGCCAACCTGCTGGTTCATCCTCCTCCGCTTCTGGGTGAGTCTCCCACCATCTGACGTCACCATCCACCATCTGACGTCACCATCCACAATCTGACGTCACCATCCACCATCTGACGTCACCATCCACCATCTGACGTCACCATCCACAATCTGACGTCACCATCCACCATCTGACCTCACCATCTCCCATCTGATGTCACCATCTCCCATCTGACGTCACTGCCTCCCATCTGACGTCACCGTCTCCCATCTGACGTCACCGTCTCCCATCTGACGTCACCATCTCCCACAAATGCTTCCACACTAAGCCATGTCATTGCAGTGATGCCATGTCCTGTCTTGACCTTTTCGATACGCATCTCTCCCTCATTCCTCTTGTTTGTCTCCTGTCTTCCCCTATCGCCCTCCCCTCCCCCCTGCCCTCAGCTGCGTGTGGATTGATCGCTCATGCGCCTACGCAATGCTCGCTTCTTCTGCTCCTTCAACACGCCTATCCTGTCTTTTTTACGCCGCTCCCCATCTCCCCCCCCCTCTCCCCCTCCCTCCCCTCAGCTGCGTGTGGACGGTGCACTCATGCGCCTGCGCGACTCTCGCTTCTTCTGCGCGTTCAGCAGCACGCCTGCTCCAACTGCCATCCCCTTTCCCATTACCAGCCCCACGCCGGTTCCCAACAACTCCCTCTCCCCACCATCTGCCCTCGCAACCTCATCCCTCCCCAGCCTTGCAACCACCGCCGCAACAGCAGCCCAAACCGCTGTCATCCCGCCTCCCATTCCCAGCCCCATATCTCCTCCCACCAACTCCCTTTCCCCGCCTTCCTCTCTGTCAACCTCAACTACTCCTAGCCTTGCAACCGCCGCTGCAACAGCAGCCCAAACCGCTGCAGCAGATGCTGCTGCTGCTGTTTCTGCTGCAGCTTTAACTTCACACTCGCATTGCACCGGCAGCAGCAGCAGCAGCAGCAGGAAATGGAGGGAAATGGAGATAGGGTTGAAAATGGGCAACATAGGATTGAAGAGAGTGATTGCCTGCCTTTGGTTGTTCGAGAGTACACGGAACGAGAGGACACTTTTTCTGCTCTGGCTGCTGTATGTACCTTCATACCTTGTTCTCTTCTTCTCTTGCTCTATTGTTCTATTTCTCTCTTGCTCTCTTCCCCACCACCTCAACCATCCCATCTGCCTATATGACCATTTGCAACCCTTCCTATCTCCTTGTCTACTTCACCATCCATTTGAACCTTTACTTCCCGTCTCCCTATACTTTTTCCCATTTGTCTGTGCTTTTTCCCATTTGTCCGTATACCTTCCCATCTGGTCCATATACCTTCCCATCTGTCCGTATACCTTCCCATCTGTCCGTATACCTTCCCATCTGTCCGTATACCTTCCCATCTGTCCGTATACCTTCCCATCTGTCCGTATACTTTCCCATCTGTCCGTATACCTTTTCATCTGTCCGTATACCTTTTCATCTGTCCATATAACTTTTCATCTGTCCGTATGCCTTTTCATCTGCCTGCCTCCAATCCAACGATTTTCCTCCCTCGCTGCTGCCTCCCTGCTGCCTCCCTGCTGCTTCCCTGCTGCCTCCCTGCTGCTTCCCTGCTGCCTCCCTGCTGCCTTCCTGCTGCCTTCCTGCTGCCTGCTGCAGAAGGGGACCCCTCGGATTCGGCATTTTTATTCGGATCCGTTTCAAGTCAGCTACAAGCTCTCTCTCATGTGCCTCATCCCTCCTACCTCTGCTCTTCCCCCCTCTCCCCCCCCCCCCCCCTCCTCTCTGTCTCCTGCAGAAGGGGTACCCCTTGGATCCGGCGTTCTATTCCGACCCCTTTCAAGTCAGTGACAAGCTCTCCATTGTGTGCTCTCGGACGGAGAAGTTGCAGATAAAAAAAAGTACGGTATATATTGGTACTGAAGTAGAGAATTCTTAAACCGACAAGATCTCCATCGTGTGCTCTCGGATGGAGAAATTGCAGATAGAAAGACGTCGGGTACTTCAGTAGAGGCTACCCTGTAACCCCTTTTCCCCCTTCCACCCACCTCCTTCCCCTCCCCCCTCCCCCCCACCCCCCTCCCCCCTCCCCCTCCCCCCCCCTCCCCACCCCGCCCGCGAATATAATGCCCCGAGCATGGTCTCATCATGCTATTACCATGGGTGCAGGAATGTTAGAAAACTTTCAATATATCCAACCTTTGCCACATTGCCAAATGGTATCTCTTTCTCCCATTCTCACTACTCATTCTGTTGAGTTATTTCAGATAGGAGAGTACGTAAGTGGGAAGCTTCTGTAACAAAGGTTAGAAACGGTGCGTTGCGGTATTGTTGAACGCTGTTGTACCACGCCCTGCTGTAAAATCTCCGGCCCTCTCGGTCAAACCCCACACCAACCAAGCCATCACCAACGTTCGGTTATAAGCGTCAATGCACGAGGGGTGGTTTGGGGTACTAAGAAATAAATGACGTGGCACGTGCTGTGCCAGCACCTAATACTCTTCGCGCCTTCAGATGTTGGTCTCGCGGAGGTTAGTACTGTACAAATCCCTATGCTCGGCCTTTCATTCTCCAGCAATTTGTTTTGATTTGTTCATGACTGTACAGGCAGCGCCCAGAGACCATCAGTCACCTCCTCGCTTTCATGCGTTCCGAGTTACGCGTAGATACAGCGTCGATAGCAAAAAGCGACTTTTCTTACCTAGCTTGAATCCGGCTTGAGGAAATCTCGCATTTCCGCGCCTAGCACTCCCCCTGCATACATCCGTCCATCGATCCTTCCAGCCTTGGCCACTCCGTTACATCAATGGACGAATCGCGCAACCGCCGCTGCATGATATCACCGCAGCCGGCTGCGCCTCGCGTCACGATCCGTCGCAATCCGTCGGATCGTACGCCTGCCACTGCGTCGAATCGTACGGCTGCTGATTGCGTTGCGTGTTCGCCGTGCGACATTGATCGGCTGCCAGATGTCGTCTTGCTGAGCATCATACACCACGTCATCAGCACCAGCAACAGCAGCAATAGCAAAACCGTCGATGGAGCGACGACCGCAATCGACGCACGTGGTAGAAGCTCCGATGCACGTGATAGCACCGGCGGCCCTCCATGTTCAGCAGCGACATGCCCGAACGCCGTGACCATCACCACCCGCAATCGCAGGGGCTACAAGCAACAGCAGCAGCTGCCATGTAAGGACCCTACATGCTCCTGCCGCAAGGCAGAGAACAGCACAGTCCCCCCCACCCCGCCGCTGCTCGCCTGCGCGCTCGTCTCCCGCCGCTGGCTGCGCCTCTCCGCGCTTCTCCCCCGCGCCGTCACTGTTCCTCTCGGCCTTCTCTTACGCCCCCGCGCCCTCCTGCGTACTCTCTCCGCCTTCCCCCACCTGTGCTCCCTCACGCTACACGGAAACTCCTGCCGAAGCATCAGCAGCAGCGGCAGAGGGACCGTCAGTGATTGGCTCATCGCTCGCCTGGCAGCGCTGTCGCAGCTGACGTCACTCTCGCTCGTTGGCGTTGCGGCAATCCCGAGGCTCTCCCCTTTGGCGCCCTCCCTGCTGTGCTTAGAGATCCGCGGCGCTGGGGAGGGGGTGACGCGGCTTCCTGGAAATTGCCTAGGGCAGCTGACGTGTCTGCAGGAGCTGGTTTTGCGGGACTGCTTGGCGCTGCGGCAGCTTCCGGCGTCGCTTGCATTGCTGCCGTCGCTGCAGCGCATTCGCGTGGAGGGATGCTATTCCATGGCGCTTGTCGCTTGGACGATGCCCAGGGATGCCTGTGGGTTGGCAGCTGTGCCTTCACAGGAGGAGGATGGGGAACGACGGGTGGGTGAAGGCCAAAGAAAGGGGATTCAATTCCACTATGATGATAGCGCGGTTGTTTCGGTGATGTCTGGGGGTGAGAGTGATGAGGGGGATGTGGGGCCAAGCTGTGGGAAGCAACTGCCACCTCGGTGGCGAAGGCGACAGCGGCGCCAACGGAAGAAGCTCCACCGCTGCCATGAGAAGGCTCAGCAGCATCAGCAGCAGCAGCAGCAGCAGCAGCAGCAGCAGCAGCAACAGCAGCAGCAGCAGCAGCAGCAGCAGCAGCAGCAGCAGCAGCAGCAGCAGCAGCAGCAGCAGCAGCAGCAGCAGCAGCAGCAGCAGCAGCAGCAGCAGCAGCAGCAGCAGCAGCAGCAGCAGCAGCAGCAGCAGCAGCAGCAGCAGCAGCAGCAGCAGCAGCAGCAGCAGCAGCAACAGCAGCAGCAGCAGCAGCAGCAGCAGCAACAGCAGCAGCAGCAGCAGCAGCAGCAACAGCAGCAGCAGCAGCAGCAGCAGCAACAGCAGCAGCAGCAGCAGCAGCAGCAACAGCAGCAGTCGTCACAGGTTGACAGTCAGAGTAAGCAGGGTGGTGGTGTCGCCACTGTCACGGCAGCAGCACAGCCACGGCACCCCCTCTTCTCTTCCAAACTGCAACACCTCGAGCTTGCTGACGTGGCAGCCCTTCAGCACCTGCCACGTGGCATCCTCCAGCACCACTCGCTCACGCGCATCGTGCTGGACGGCTACTCAGGCTCCTCCTTTTCGGCTACTGGCAACAGTGACTCCGAGTCAACCGAGTCAACCAGGTCAATGCTCAAGCCTCCCATCCGCATGCCCAGCCTGCAACATCTGGTGCTGCGCAACCTTCCAAAACTTTCCCAGCTGCCCGGATGCCTCTCCCTGCCCGCCGCCTGCCCGTCCCTCACCATCCTTTCCATCGAAAACTGCCCCCGCTTCTCTTCCCTCCTCACTCCTCCTCCCAGCCTACACACCTTAGAGCTTCGCAATCTTCCCAACCTGACGTCCATCTGTGATCCACTGCATACCCACTGCCCATCCCTCTCTGTACTCATTCTAGAGCAATGCGCCAACCTCCGTACCGTGCCGTGCTTCCCGTCGCGCAGCCTGTCCCACGTGGAGATTCGCAACCTCCCAAACCTCACAGCACTCACAGGCCCTTCCTCACTCCTCAACCCCTCCTCCTCCTCCTCCCCTCGCCTCTCCGTCCTCGCAATTGACAACTGCCCTCTCCTTGCTACAATCCCTATAAATGCTATAAATACTATAAACGCTATACATGCTATAAGTGCTACAATCACAAATGCTATAGATGCTAGAAGTACTATAAATGCCTTAGATGCTGTAAATGCCTCTGCACAAGTCCCTGTCACCTTCGAATTTCCAGGTCTAAGGGAGCTATGGCTGCAAGACCTGCCTCTGCTGCACGAGCTACCGCCCTCCTTCTCCTGCCTCTCCTCCCTGCAGCGTCTGGTCATCACGCGCTGCCATCTGCTCAACTCACTCCCTGACTGCCTGCCGGAGCTCCCCTTGCTGCGTGATCTCGCCCTCGTACTAAACCATAATCTAACTATCCCGATAGATTTCCTGCCGCGCCTGCACTCGGTGCGTCGCCTGGTGGTGCACCGGGGGCGCGAGAACAAGAACAAGGTCATCATCGCGCATCGGGGGAGGGTGAGGCCACAGTTTGCGCTGCCCCCGCGGGCGAAGGAGCTTCACACGGATGATTTTGGCTGTGAGGTGCTGCGCTTGCATGAGCTGGAGCGACTGGAGGTGGCTGAGGGGGCCTTCCACAAATTTAGTATCGACGAGGTTCAGGTTATGGAGGAGAATTTTAAGGTTGGTGGAGAAGGTGGAAGGAGGGGTGCAGAGGAAGAGGAGGGCAATGGGGGCTTCAATGAAGACAGCAGCAACGAGATAACTGGCATTAGCAGCAGCAGCAGCAGCAGCAGCAGCAGCAGCAGCAGCAGCAGCAGCAGCAGCAGCAGCAGCAGCAGCAGCAGCAGCAGCAGCAGCAGCAGCAGCAGCAGCAGCAGCAGCAGCAGCAGCAGCAGCAGCAGCAGCAGCAGCAGCAGCAGCAGCAGCAGCAGCAGCAGCAGCAGCAGCAGCAGCAGCAGCAGCAGCAGCAGCAGCAGCAGCAGCAGCAGCAGCAGCAGCAGCAGCAGCAGCAGCAGCAGCAGCAGCAGCAGCAGCAGCAGCAGCAGCAGCAGCAGCAGCAGCAGCAGCAGCAGCAGCAGCAGCAGCAGCAGCAGCAGCAGCAGCAGCAGCAGCAGCAGCAGCAGCAGCAGCAGCAGCAGCAGCAGCAGCAGCAGCAGCAGCAGCAGCAGCAGCAGCAGCAGCAGCAGCAGCAGCAGCAGCAGCAGCAGCAGCAGCAGCAGCAGCAGCAGCAGCAGCAGCAGCAGCAGCAGCAGCAGCAGCAGCAGCAGCAGCAGCAGCAGCAGCAGCAGCAGCAGCAGCAGCAGCAGCAGCAGCAGCAGCAGCAGCAGCAGCAGCAGCAGCAGCAGCAGCAGCAGCAGCAGCAGCAGCAGCAGCAGCAGCAGCAGCAGCAGCAGCAGCAGCAGCAGCAGCAGCAGCAGCAGCAGCAGCAAGCATGGCCGCAAGCAGCAGCTTCTGCCTTGCTTGCAACGGCTGCACCTTGTTAACTGCCATGTTGGCCCCCGCTTCCCTCCCTGGATGCTCCACTTCACGTCCTTGCAGCACCTCTCTCTCTCCCACATCCTTCAATCTGATATATTTGCCTGCCCCGTGGAGCAAGCCAGAGAGCCTGACCAACTGGACCGCCTGCGCAGAGCTTATGTGCAGGAGGAGGAGCACTGGGAGAATCTCACGTCACTGCAGCAGGTTGAGAGGTGTGCATGCTGCCCCCGCATAGTTGTACCTTGGGAGTGGCAGCATCTTGTGTGTGTGGTTGACGCAGCAGCGACAAAAAGAGATACAGCAGCAGCGGCAGCAGATGCAGCAGGTTGCGGAGGTGATGTGCTTCGACGGGCAGGATTCGTGCTGGGAGACTTGGGAGGATCCGACGGTCTGTGATGTGATGTGACCAGTGTATAGTTACTGTACTTGCAAAGTGTCAAACATATATGCTGCATATTGTCTAGGCTGTAGTGGGGTAGCCCATATGGAGTACAACCCAATTAGGGTTTACTACTTGTACTCCTGCATGCTGCTAGTTCATCATTCCTGCTGCTAGATTATAACACAAAGTTGCGTACATGCTTGCGGATATGCGCACAAGAATGGGACTAGCATCTGGCGCATTACGGTAGTTAACATACGCAAACACTGGGTGGGTAATTAGATGGTTGTAGAGTGATGTGATGTCTGGTCGCCCCCTTCCATGTGTGCAATGTCTGTGGTACGGTACAGTGCTGGTGCAATACAAGACTGCTGCTTGTCATAATTTGAGCAACAGAGGAAGGCAAGGTATATCAAGATTTCATGCACTTCTATCTGGGACCAACACAAGTAAACTGGAGTCTGTATCGTACAGTGTCACCGTAACACAACTCCATTGTGAAGCAGAGAACCTAACCCAAAAACACCCTCCTCAGCAGCTCCTACTCATCATCATCCTCATTAACATAGTGTCCGTGCCCGCCATAGCAACGAGCACTATAACCAGTTACCAGAGCCATATCAATATGTGGCTAGTCATGATCATCATCCTCCTTATTAACAAATATTGTGTCCGCCATAGCAACAAGCGCTAAAATCAGAGCCATGTCGACGTGTGGCTTGATGCGCACAGCATAAGTGTGTGTGCTCAGAAAATCCCTGGCAGACCAAATGTCCCTCTCCACCTGCGCCAGCAGAAGCCCGCTGCTTGTGGTGATCTGAGCAACAAAGAAAGCACAGGTACATGGGAGGAACAGCATATCAATGTTCGGTAAGATGCGCACAGCATATGTGTGTGTGCTCGAAATCCCTCACAGACCAAATGTCCCTCTCCACCTGCGCCAACAGAAGCCCGCTGCTTGTGATCTGAACAATAAGAGCAATAGAGTAAGCACATAGAAAGAAAGGGAAGGAGAGGCAAGAAGCATGTTAAGCTACAGGCGTCAAACTCCCTCATAGACCAGATGTCCCTCTCCACCTGTGCCAACAGAAGCCCGCTGCTTGCGGTGATCTGGGTAATAGAGCAAGCACAGGGACAGGGAGAGCAAGCACAGGGACAGGGAGAGCAAGCACAGGGACAGGGAGAGCAAGCACAGGGACAGGGAGAGCAAGCACAGGGACAGGGAGAGCAAGCACAGGGACAGAGAGAGGGAAGGAGAGGCGTCAGGCATATTGAGCTTCATGCACCAACTCCCTGGCAGACCAGATGTCCCTCTCCACCTGTGCCAGCATAAACCCGCTGCTTGTGTTGATCTGAGCAACAGCGCAAGCACAGGGACAGGGGACAGGCAGATAGAATGCACGAGTCAATCTCCCTGGCAGACCAGATGTCCCTCTCCACCTCTGCCAGCATAAGCCCGCTGCTTGTGGTGATCTGAGCAAGGGAGAGCAAGCACAGGGACAGGGGAGGAGAGGGTAGGCTGGAGATACTGGGCTGGGTGGGGCCAGCACAGTGGGTGCGTGTGACCATAGATCTCCCTGCTTGTCCGCACATCCCCTTCCTCTCCACCCACGTGCACTCAAGACTGCTGCTGGTAGTGATGTGATGTGAGCAACAGAGCAAGCACAGTGACAGGGGAGGAGAGGGTAGGCTGGAGGTACTGGGCTGGGTGGGGCCAGCACAGTGAGTGCGTGTGACCATAGATCTCCCCGTTTGTCCGCACATCCCATTCCTCTCCACCCACGTGCACTCAAGACTGCTGCTGGTGGTGATGTGAGCAACAGAGGAAGCACAGGGACAGCACAGTGGGATGGGTGCGGCCAGCACAGTGGGTGTGTGTGACCATAGATCTCCCTGCTTGCCCGCACATCCCTTTCCTCTCCACCCACGTCTACTCAAGACTCTGCTGCCGGTAGAGCAACAGAGGAAGCAGAGGGACAGGGTTCGACTATTAAGAGTTTAGAATTTTTGCCGATAGCCTGTTCCTTCCGACTTGCCTGTACCAAGCAAGATTGGGCCAGTCACTGCACTTGATGTGCACAGCACGTGTAGATCAGCAAGCACAAGTGAAGTGAAGAATCTCCAGAGAACAATGTCTGACTTTGAGAACAATGTCTGACTTTGAGAACAATGTCTGGCTTTGAGAACAATGTCTGGCTTTGAGAACAATGTCTGGCTTTGAGAACAATGTCTGGCTTTGAGAACAATTTTTGGAAATGACTTCTCAGTCGACTAACACTGAGTCGAATGAAAAACGAGTGTACTTGTTAGAGTACGTACAGTGAACTCGTGTTGGAAAAAGTCGCCTTTGAGAACGATGTCTGGCTTGTTGTCAGCGGAATTCCCTTTCAGAAAGATCTGTAGAAAATGAAGCATAACAGCAAGAACAGCAGGAAAGATATGATCAGATTAGAAACTGCAGCTGAACAACCAGTTGCCTGTGAGAACGATGTCTGGCTTGTTGTCAACGGAATTACCTTTCAGAAAGATCTGCCCAGAAATAGAACACCAGGGAAAGAAGAACAAAAAGGATATGCAATGAGATCAGAAGTTACAGTGGCACATTATGGCCATTCACTCCCTCACACACTCCCACCCTCCCTCATCCATTCACTCCCTCTCTCAAGAAATCACTCACTCACTCCTTACTCTCTCGCTCGCTCATCTTGAGACCGATTGGCACTCAGGAGAACATGTTCTGGCATTCAGCATCGCTCTGAACCGATTGGCACCTGTTCAGCAACCACTCCCTCCCTCAATTACTCACAGACTCACTCATTCACACTTACACTCACGTAATTAATCAAGCTTACTCACTCATTCACTCTCTCCCTCACTCGCACTAAGGATGGGTTTCTAGGAGAAGAACTTGCATTCACTTCCTCCCTCTCTCCTGGCATTCAGCACGATTCGCTTTCACTCAGACTCTGCTTACTCATTTCTCCTTCGCTCCCTCACTCCCTCACTCACTCATTCGTTCACTCCCTTCCTCCCTCCCTCCCTCCCTCCCTCCCTCCCTCCCTCCCTCCCTCCCTCCCTCCCTCCCTCCCTCCCTCACTCCCTCACTCCCTCCCTCCCTCCCTCCCCCCGCATTCACGCACTCACATTGAGGACGGGAGTCCAGGAGAAGAACTTGCTTCTGGCAGTCAGCAGCACGTCCCTTTCAATATGACTCTGCTCACTCACTTCTTCACTCACGCACTTCCTTACTCCCTCCCTCACGCACTATTTCCCTCCCGCTCTCACCCACTCACATTGAGTATGGGCTTCCAGGAAAAGAACTTGCTTCTGGCTGTAAGGAGCGCGTCCCGTTTATCCACGCTGTCGCCCGGGCACAGGTAGGTCTCATCGTGCAGGGTGAAAGCCTTGCTGGTCAGCGAGCATACCGGCTCGTCCTGCGCGTTGAATATCGTCTTGCGACCGCGCCAAGAGAACGCCCTGTGCGAACGAGGGCGAGAAGGAAAAGAGGGGATGGGGGAGAGGAGGGAATGGGCCGTGCTGGTCAGCAAGCACTGCGCCTCGTCCTTGGCGTTAAATATCGTCTTGCGGTCGCGCCACGAGAACGCCCTAAACGAATGCGGGGGGGGATGGGAGGGGGGAGAGGAGGGAGAAGGCCGTGCTAGTCAGCGAGCGAATTGGCCCGTCCTGCGCGTTGAATATGGTCTTCCGGTCCCGCCACGAGAACGCCCTGCAGGCAGGGCGAGCACAGAAACCACAGGTATGTGACTTTGTGTGGCGAGAAGGCTTTACTGGTCAGCGAGCAAATTGGCTCGTCCTGGGCGTTGAATATGGTCATCCGGTCGCGCCACGAGAACGCCCTGCATGAAGGCGGGTGAGAAGAAACAAAAGTAAAGGGCAACGAGAGAGGGGAAGGGGGGAGGGGGTGGGGAGGGAGGAAACAAAACACACACACGCTCGCGTGCGCGAACACACATACAAAAAGGAAGGATTTTACATCTGGTGTGACGTGACTGTTTTTAGGAGGTTACTTCTCCGTGAGTCAACCTTAATGACAGATGACTTCGAGAATGCTCGACGGCGATTGCGGTTACCAGCAACGGCCCAACTTTGACCACAGTAGAATCGTTTACGCGTCACATTGGCGACGGGGTTGGCGACGGAATCTTTCTTTCTTTCTCACCCCGTCCTCCCATATCCTTCCCCCAACCCCCATCTCTTCCCATCCCCTTCTTCCGTTTCCCCTTCTCTTTACCCCTTCTTCCATCTCTTCCCATCCCCTTACCCTCCACCAAGAATCGAAAACAACAACGAACTTTAGAGTGGTTGACTTCTCGATCAACTCAAGAGAGTTACTTGTCCTTGGTCTTGAAAAAGAGTTGGCCTTGGGTGTCGTATACGTCCGCTTTTGAGTCGACTCAACAACAGACAAAAGCAACAACGAACTTCAAATAAGTACTTGTCCTTGGTCTTGAAAAAGAGTCGGCCCTGCGTGTCGTGTACGTCCGCTTTTGAGTCGACTCAACAACAGACAAAAGCAACAACGAACTTCAGATACGTACTTGTCCTTTGTCTTGAAAAAGAGCCGGCCCTGCGTGTCGTATACGTCTGCTTTGCCGTGCAGCGACCACATCTTCTCCTTCAATATAAGAACGGTTTCGTATGGGAGGCAGTACTGAAGGCCTACCACCACATATGGTTCTGTCGGCCCAGCGCTTGGCGCGGGAGACGGGATGGGGACATTGGCGACGGGATTGGCGACAAGATTGACGGCAGGCGTTCCAGTGGCGATAGAAGCGACAGGCGCGCCAGTGGCTACGACCGGCGTGGTGCTGGCGTGGGGCGTGGCGATGTAATGGGGCGGAATGGATGCGGACATTTCTGCCCGTTGGTATACGAACGCGGCCTGTCGATAACCTCGGCCAAGGGTCGGTTGAGGCTTGAGGAAGTGGATTACTAGGATGGCTGAGGCTCGGATACAATATGCCACCAGTTCAGAATAATACTCGCTCGTGACGACGTTCTTACTGGCTCGGTAAGAATCACACAAGTTACATACAAAACAATTCGATATCAGCGAGTAGTAAATAGAACTGCAGAAAGCTATTGTACTCAGATCAGGAACTCCACGTAGACATCAATGTTCAGCCTACTCGCGACGCGGAAGCTTTTGATAGTTACGAATGAAAGGCTGGCTGGTTTCACGCGCTACTGTATGGTAGGACGTCACAGACAAAGCGGACGAGCAAGCTCCGTGTGTCTCGTGTCAAAGGTGAAAGTGCTAGGTAGGTAGGCGGCGTGAAACGGAGCGGACAGCGCGGGCATGGAGATGCTGTACTGTGCTGTACTGTACTATTGCACACGGACAACGGACATCGCCGGCATGTACGATGCCTGTGAACGTGATGTCGTGAATGGCTAGTCATTGACGCGGGATTGGCGCTTATCATGTCCATCCTCATAGATACGGTATGTATTGCGTGCTAACATGGCATTCCTCCTCCTTGGGGACTGGAAACCAGGCAACATCGGAGGCACAGCCTCTGTACCGTTTTGATCCTTTGTCAAAACCTTCTAACCGCGGGGAAACTAATCGTTCCTTCTCACCTGAGCAGTGAGTGCGGTGCGGTGCTCTCAAGGTGAATGAACGAAGCCAAATTGTTGGAGGGGAGGAACTTGGAGAGAATTCGGTCAGTGATTGATGGAATATATGTGAAACGGACGGCGAGGAGGACAACCACGTGGCGTCACTCCCAAGGCAAAGAACAAATCGTGTACAGAAAACAGAATCTCACGACAAGGGATTATTCTATCGGTAATCAGTCACTGTATGCTTTCACTAATAATCAAACTAACCGTTTTAGAAGGTTCCCATTTATAAGCTTCAGACACATGCGTCTCTCTAAATTACCGTACAAGCTAAACTGACATTATCACTCCATTGTCGAACCAGGCGATTGTGGTACAATGCCTTTATCAGTAAACATAAAGGGAATCACATACACTAGCTGTAAAAGGGCAGACCTACTTGTCGTCTTCTCTGTTGACATAGATATTGTCAGCAATGGCAACAAGGCCCATAATAAGAGCCCTGTCTACATTGGGCTTGATGTGCACTGCGTATGTCTGAGTTGCCAAGAAAATGTCCTTGAGCTGGAGCTTGCGGTCCACCGTAGCCAAAAGACGGCCGCTGGAAGTGGTAATCTGCACATGTAGCGAAGGGAAGAGAGGAAATTCCACGTCAGCAAGTGGAAGCAAAGCTTCAGAAGTGCTATGGTAAGCATAATAATGCTTTCCAAACGCTGGGAAATGAGGAGAGGAAACAGGCAACGCGCACAGCTCAGCAAATAAGACAGATAGAGCTGGTCCAAGAGCTGATAGAGACTGCAAGCACATACAGTAAAATCGTACTGAACGAAATTGCCCTTCAGAATAATGTCAGGTGAATCATCCGACGTGTTCCCTTTCAGGAAAACCTGAACATAAATCAAACAGGATCGGGTGGAATAGGGAGAAAACCAAGATCGTCGACACATTGTAACGACGACATTTGCTCAGCTATACATACTCCCCAAAATAGGTCCCATCAAAATTTTGATTAGTCGTAATTCAGTGTAAAACCTTGTGCATCAAGGTTGGCCTACAATGATCTTAAAGCCAGGGTCTCAAGTAAGCAAAGCAGCCATCAACTGCAAAGCAGTTGAAGATAGGTTACCTTGTTAGTGCAGGCGAATTTCTCTTTGGTTGGGTTGGAAACCTTCTCCCGTCAGTGCCTCAAAAGCAATTGCACAAGTTTTGAGTACGTGAGACCTTCGACGAGTCTGGGGCATTTTAGGTTTGGTTCCGAACCAAATTTACAAACCTAGGAGGTTCGGCTACACCTAGCGATTTGGATTCGTTTCGTACCCCTCGCTTCACCCCTCTTCAAACTTCACAACTCGCCAACCAATCACACACAAACTTGCACTGTCGACTGCAAAACACTTGTAGTACATAAGACCCTGGCTTTAAACGAACAACCCCATGCCTGCCCACCTGCCGATGCCTTCGAAATTTCACAAGCTATGATACGAAGTGTTAACAAAACTCTAAGAATGGTTGATCAGGTCAGCACAACGTGAGTGAGCAGCGCGCTGTCAGGACCTTTGAGATGTCTCAGAAGCTGAAACGAAGGTGTGATAGAGACTCACATTGAGAATGGGTGACCAGGTCAGCACGACGCTCTTGGCGGTGAGAAGCGCGTTGTCGGGTTCCGGGTCTTCGCCAGGGCAGAGGTACGTGGTGTGGCTGAGAGAGAAGACCTTGCTGACCATGGAGCAAACCGGCTCGTCCTGCGCGTTGAAAATGGTCTTCCGCTCTTTGATGTCCCATGCCCTGCCGCGATAAAGTTTGGGAAACTTGGCGAGGATTAGGTAGGTGAAGCCATTCTTTACTTGGGTGATCATGGATCAAGCGCTTATTGCGAGGTTAGCAGGGTTAGGCGACATTGTACGTGGCTAGGTTAATGCAATTTACGTACTTGTCCTCAGTCCTAAAGACTAGTTGACCTTGACCGTCGCGAATCTCGGCCTTCTCACGCAGCGACCACATCTTTTCCTTCAGTATAAGCACCGACTCTTCCGGGAGGCAGTACTGGCTTCCCACCACCACATACGGCTCGTTAGAGTCAGCCATGGCCAGAGATGCTCGCAATGACTCAGCTAAACTGCGACTTTTGAAAGAGCTGGATCTCAATTCTGAAGTGCCAGCGTCGATTTGGAGAGAACTTATCAAGCGTAGACAAATGTTGCTCTGACTGGGAGTACAATACGGAGCAGGGCTCGTGAGGCCTTTTGGAAGGTGCAGTGAAACTGGCCTATCGAACTAACGTACACTCAACCGCCTCGCCGTGAGCATTGGATGGAATGGTGCACTATGACGATCATCTCCATAAGTGCTGGTGACGGAAACGAAGCCACGTCATCCGTGGAACCCGTGAACGAATCAGTACGTCGCACGCTGGCTCCCAAACACTCCCGGCGGGCGGCATGAGAGCTGGTGATGGGGGCATCGTAGGACGAATATGAGAAAACAGGGCGGCAGCACCTAGCTTCGTCCAGCTTCGTTATTTTCCCCTCTACCCTCTCACACACCCATCAAGCACGAATTGCTGGTTCATTCAGAAATCAGGAACCCCCGACAGTTGTGCTTTTGGACTTCACCGTTCTGAATCTCTCAGAACGCCGTTCTTCGCCGCCGTTATTTTCCCCTCTACCCTCTCACATCGAGCTGCACCTGGGATCTCTCACCCGCGGAGTTTGTTCGCGAACTGCTGGAGGGGCGCGCAATGCAACGCGAGGTGAAGTGCGTCAAATTCCAAATGAACGGACACCTGGAGGCGTGCTAATGGTGGGTGTACGAGCAAAATCTTCGGGGCAGCTCTGATTTTTATTCCGAAGATTCTGAAGCAGCTCAAGAGTCGCTTCGATATACACACAAAAATCTACAGAGATCTATGTCCAGAACCCTTAGAGGTTTCCTGATTGATATAACTGTTGTGTTAAATGTCGTACGCTGCTAGTGCTTCAGAAAAGCGATCTTTGCATATGTATTAAGAACAATACAAATTCATGAATCAGGAAATATGGGGTGTTCAAGGAAGAAAACGAGAGCAAGGAAACAGGAAAACACATTGTGTATACATGTATATGTACGGAAAGTAGTAACATATCTATACACGAAAACAGTGCTGCTGTATCGGATTCTATATGCCCTTGGTGTTGCCGCGGTTCTGATCTCCCCACCTTGCTTCTCAGTTGAGACTCGAACGCGAGATTCAGATGTTTCTCAGAACGGTATGAAACGATATTTTATGGTAATCAAGCTTCCCTAGGCAAGGATGCCTGTTGATTCTGATCCGAGATGCACTCCTTTTTGAGATTCACCTGTGGAACACCATTTTTTTAAGTTGCCAGATCTCGCTGGGAGAACGCTGATCAGTCCAGGGTTACCTGCTAGCTTTCTTGGAAGGACCGAAATCCTTGCGCACCGTCTTACGATTGAAGCTCGTTCCCGTGGTCTCGTCGGCTTTTCTCCTTTCGTCTCGCAGAACTTTGCTGACAAAGAGACTACGTCAGCATGGTAAGCTCCATTTGAAATGTCGAAACCAAGTTTAGGGATTCTCTAGAACCTGACTGACTGCTCGTTCGGTTATATTCCTGCTTGCAAAAACAGCTTTTGAGATTTGTATTATTAGAAAAACCACCTTCTCGGAGTTTCAGCATGTCGGTTAAGCTTGGGATTCACAGCACTGCAAGTAGGTCGACGGGCTGTCGTGGAGGTTCCTCTCTCGACTCGAAATGCGAAGCTGATTAGTGAAGTATTTAGTTGGTCGCGAGCATCAGCGGACTGGGTAATCCATCAAAACCAGTCTCATCGTGTATAGTCTGGAAGGCATGAAAACGACACCGACGCCGTTCGATTCATCGGATGCCAGCTTGATGCTAGTCTGGAAGCCGTTCTCGCCTGATCGCTTATTAGTAGGATAGCGTGTTCCTCCGTTTTCACCTTATCGCCTACAGGTGGCTTTTGAGTTGACAGAAAAGTCATCGATTGCCAGCTTGATTTTATTCCGGAAGCCATTAGTAGGATTGTTATTCCTTCGTTCTCACCTGATCGGTGCTCGTCGCACGTGCAGGACGATTACCGTTACCTGTCGCATACACATCCGGAAAGAAATCCATCCGTAATTTCGGTTGCTGCCATGGCATAGCATTGGAGTAGCTTTCACTAGATATGTCGAAATGCGACAGTACGAGGAGAACGGAGCGATGATGCACTTTGTGTGTTAAGTCATCGTCGCAGTTGGTTAGCTCGCCGTTGTATGGCAATGCGACAAACGTTTGTGGTAGCTATTGCGGTTTTCGTGAGCCAGTCAATGCCTTAGCGTACGAATGTAGGCTGATCAAGCGAACACGACAGTCGCATGTTCACAGTTCTGTTTTGTGCCTTTTTGCTTTATGTAATCCCGATTCTCTAACCAATTTGTTAATCTTGTTTGTTGTTCTTGTTTCCGTGTACTTGTGTTTTTGCAGCCTCTTCGATTGGAGATCAAGGTGAGGAAAAACCTGGATTCCTCCTTTTGATTAATCAGTTTTGCCTTTCATCTAGCTTCGGGCCTGACATTCAGGAATTCCAATGCGAATGCCTGCGTCCCCGTGTAATTCTGGGTATGCCCAACCGAACGCGACATCATTCCGCCATACGTCCTCCGCCTTGTTTCCTTTCAGCGCAAGCTCGCTCAACGTTCAGATCGAGTCAAGTGTGTAGATCTACACCCGACAGAACCATGGTGAGTCGAAATTGGTCGGCTTTCACCTTCATATGGAGGTGCAATGGTGCCACGCTGCTTGGGAGCTTTGGTATCTACGTTGGGCTTCAATGAAATTGATTCAACTTCTTGTTTCTTGTGTCAGGGTTCTTGCGACGCTATACACGGGAAGTGTGTACATTTGGAACTACACCACACAGGTAAGAGACTTGAATGCAGACTGCGCTTGCCCTCGGTGAGTATCTCCTATCTCTTTCATCTTGTCCAACGTGTGCTCCTACACTCCTGTCTTTTGATTTAGGCGCAAACACCTCACCAGTACTTTCTGAATGGAAGCTCTTTTTTTCTTCCAGATATTTGACTTAGCCAAAGTGGTTAAACCATGGGTGGGATTGTGCCATGGTCAATTTCCCGCTTTCATCTCACAAATGTTCCTCTGTGCGACTTGCAGACTCTAGTCAAGTCGTTTGAAGTCACTGAACTGCCGGGTACGTGACTACGTCTCCTTGGTGCCTCCCCAAGCTTTCTACCATGTACCACTGTGCACCCGACTTGTCCTATTGCACTTCATGCAAATTCACTAGTCAACGAGAATTTCCAGAATGTTATTTTTTTTTTCCCCCATCCAACTTCGCGCCTACAACCACAAGTTTAGAGCAGCATGGACGCCGTCACACCAATGCTTGAGAGGATTCTGGAGTCTAAACAAGAAGCATTGCTTTTCTTCCTCCTCGCTGTGGCCTCCCTCCAGTGCGGTCGGCCAAGTTCATCCCTAGGAAGCAATGGATCGTGACGGGCGCGGACGACATGTTCATCCGCGTGTACAACTACAACACCATGGACAAGGTCAAGACGTTCGAGGCGCACACGGACTACATCCGCTGTGTTGCCGTGCACCCGTCGCTGCCGCTCGTCATCTCCTCGTCCGACGACATGCTCATCAAGCTGTGGGACTGGGAGAAAGGGTGGGCGTGCACGCAGATCTTCGAGGGGCACTCGCACTATGTCATGCAGGTGCGGAGGGTGGGGGTCTGTGTGAAGGCTATGTGTTGCCCTGTGTGGAGACGTGTTGAAAGCTAGGTGCAGAAGGAATACTAAAGGCTTGGCCCCACCTGTTCTATTGTTCCACTGCACCCGCATGGAGTTGTGGTAATTCACTGAATCTCCTTCATCACCGTTCGTCTAGTCAGAGCTTTTTATGACTCTCAACGAGCTGGCCCGGTTCCCTCTTTCTGAACTTTTGTGTGTGTCGTGCGTGCCCCTGTTTCCCGGCAATCAACCCCCTGCGCTGCCTTGCTGTCAGGTGGTCTTCAACCCCAAGGACACCAACACATTTGCCAGTGCATCACTAGATCGCACCATCAAGGTGAGCTGGATGTGTGTTCATTCTTAGTCATGTACGTTGCATTGCACAAATGCTGCAATTAGAGTTTCTTTATCACATGTTTAGACTTTTTGTGCTTGTTTTTGCAATGCCTTGTTGCCTTGCCTATTGGGCCCATTGTTGGTGCCTTTGCCTTGCACTCCCCTCTCCTTGCACCCATCCATCCATCGCTGTCCAGATCTGGAGCCTGGGATCTCCAGACCCAAACTTCACCCTGGAGGGGCACTTGAAGGGCGTGAACTGTCTGGACTACTTCACTGGTGGCGATCGCCCCTACCTCATTTCAGGCTCCGACGACCAGCTCGTCAAGGTACATACCTCTTCCTCTGTGGCTGATGTCACTATGAATACGAGCAAGGCACTTCACCCTGTCTCTTGTAGCGTGGTGGCCCTCGTTAGAGCGTGGACTACTTCACTGGCGGTGATCGCCCCTACCTCATTTCAGGCTCCGATGACCAGCTCGTCAAGGCGCGTGCCTCTGCCTCTTTTGCTGGTATCACTTTAAATGCACCAAGGCACCCCTCCCTTCCGCCTATAGCGTGTTGCTCCTCTTTAGAGCCTGGATTGAATCACCGGAGGTGATCACCCCCACCTCATGTCAGGCTCCGATGATCAGCTCGTCAAGTTACGTGCCTTTGTGCTTGATAGCCCTGCTGATACACCAACGCACTCTTCGTTTATGTGCATGTCTCCCTCCGTGTTGCCGCAGGTGTGGGACTACCAGACGAAGAGCTGCGTACAGACACCGGAGGGCCACACGCACGATGTGTCGGCCGTCTGCTTCCACCCTAGGGTCCTTCACAGCATCGAGATGCCCTCAGTGTGATTTTCATACCTCCCTGACGCCTCTCCTCCGCAGGTGTGGGACTACCAGACGAAGAGCTGCGTGCAAACACTGGAGGGCCACACGCACAACGTGTCTGCCGTCTGCTTCCACCCAGAGCTCCCCATCATTGTTACTGGGTCTGAGGATGGCACTGTGCGCATCTGGCACTCCACCACGTACAGGTGCGTTGCATCCTGCGCTCCTCAACCACGTTCCATTTCTCTCCCCTTCCATTCCGACATCCTTCATTTCCTTTCATCTTCCATGACCCTCACTTTCCATTTCTATCACCTCTGATTGGTACTACCTTCCATTTCTCCCACTCTTTCCGTAGAAGATGACTTTTGGGGCTCCTCAAATGCCCTTTTCGCTGTTGCTCTGTCCTCTCTCGTCAAACTGGTGAGCACTCTCAACTAAGGGTCTGAGTTACTATCGAGGCGTCTCAAAGTTTTTGCCCTGCTGTCCCCCTCCGTTGCTCGGCAGACTGGAGAACACTCTCAACTATGGCTTGGAGCGGGTGTGGGCCATCGCTTACATGAAGAGCTCCAACAGGTGAGCTCTTCGTGTCGTGCTTTTGCGGGTATGGATTTTCTTGCTCAGCTTCTACCGCTTGACATTCCTCCCCACCCTTCACGTTGTGCCCCGCCGCTTCCCGCCTGCAACCCCACCCCCCTCCACCACACTCTCCCCTCCACCTGACCCTCTCCCTTCCCCCTCCCCTTCCCCCCTCTCTCCTCCCCCCCCCCTTCCCCCCCCCTCCCCCCCCCCCCCCGTTCTCCCCACTTCTCTCATCCTGTACAGCATTGCACTTGGCTATGATGAGGGGAACGATCATGATCAAAATTGGTCGGGACGAGCCAGTGGCCACCATGGACAGCAACCTCTGACGCCTCTTACCCTTTGCCTCTGCTCCCACAACGACTCCCTCCCTTCCTCCCACTCCCCCTCCCTTCTCCCCTCTCCCACCCCCCTCCCTCCCCTCCCGCCTCTCTTGCACTGTGCAGCATCGCCATTGGTTACGATGAGGGAACGATCATGATCAAGATTGGTCCGGACGAGCCATTGGCCAGCATGGACAGCAACATGTCAACGGCTCCCTCCCCCCTCTCTCCCTGCCTCTCTTGTACCATGCAGCATTGCTATCGGTTACGACGAGGGAACGATCATGATCAAGATTGGTCGGGACGAGCCAGTGACCAGCATGGACAGCAACATGTCAACCTCCCCCTCCCCACTCTCTCCCTCCCCCCCTGCCTCTCTTGTACCGTGCAGCATTGCGATTGGCTACGACGAGGGAACGATCATGATCAAAATTGGTCGGGACGAGCCAGTGGCCAGCATGGACAGCAGCGGCAAGATCATCTGGGCCAAGCACAATGAGATCCAGACCGTCAATGTCAAGTCCGTGCCTGCAGACTTCGAGGTAAGCTGGCTGGCTGCAGTGTGCTTAGAAATGAGAACACACTGTGTGTCCTGTTTCTGAAATCAGTGCTCCAATCTGGGCCAAGCACAATGAAATCCTGATCGTCAATGTCAAGTCTGTGCCTGCAAACTTCGAGGTCAGCAGACCAGTTTGTGCTTTGAATTACGCAAGCCCTAGTGTCAGCTTTGCACCATCAACAGTGCTTTCAACACATGAAGCCTTTGTACGTTCATCCTTTTTGTGGTCTCCTGTCTCCTTCGTGTGCATGCTCGCCTGCTCGCGTCATGTGTGTGCGCACCTCCTCCTCTCTTCTCCTTGCATCTCGCCTGCTTCAGGTGTCGGATGGCGAGAGGCTTCCACTCGCAGTCAAGGAGCTGGGCAGCTGTGACCTTTACCCTCAGGTATCCAGGCATTCTCATTTGACGCACACATCGCACAACACATTGGAGCAAAGCACTGTTACAACGCACAGTAGCAACTTTTTGCAGCAGCATATCTTTATCACAACTCGATTCTGTAAAGCGCGGGCCATCTCGTCCGTCTTCTTTCACCTTTCCTTCACTCGTCAACAGAGCCCCCAGCACAACTGTAATGGGCGGTTTGTGGTGGTGTGCGGTGACGTTGGGTATATCAGCTACACCGCCATGGCATGACGGAACTATCACCCTCACACACCCCCTGCATGGCACGACTATGGCCTCTTACTCACTCGCCTGTCTCCCTCTTCCCCTTCTCTCAACAGAGCCTTCAACACAACCCCAATGGGCGGTTTGTGGTGGTGTGCGGTGACGGGGAGTACATCATCTACACCGCCCTGGCATGGCGCAACCGCTCGTTCGGGTCGGCCCTGGAGCTGGTGTGGTCGTCTGAGGGCGAGTACGCTGTGAAGGAGACCACCTCTAAGATCAAGATCTTCAACAAAAACTTCGTGGTACGTGGTGGGAAAGGCCTTGTGATGCTTGTCATATAGAGCAAGAGCAAGGTGGGTTGAGTTGAGCTAAGCTGCCGTAGGGACTTGCTGCTCCCCTGGAGCTGGTGTGGTCGTCTGAGGGCGAGTATGCTGTGAAGGAGACCACCTCTAAGATCAAGATCTTCAACAAAAACTTCGTGGTACGTGGTGGGAAAGGCCTTGTGATGCTTGTCATATAGAGCAAGAGCAAGGTGGGTTGAGTTGAGCTAAGCTGCCGTAGGGACTTGCTGCTCCCCTGGAGCTGGTGTGGTCGTCTGAGGGCGAGTATGCTGTGAAGGAGACCACCTCTAAGATCAAGATCTTCAACAAGAACTTTGTGGTACGTGGGGCAGTCCCTGTGATATATGAAGTTGAACTACACCGCACTGCAAGCTGCAAACATCGAGTTAAGCAGCAATAGATGGCCATGGAGCTGGTGTGGTCGTCAGATGGCGAGTACGCTGTGAAGGAAACCACCTCCAAGATCAAGATCTTCAACAAGAACTTTGTGGTACGTGAAAGGGTTTTTTATCCAGGAAGTTGAATTTAACTGCATAACATTGCAAGCTGCATTGAATGAAGCTGCAATGGAGCTTGCTTTGACGCTGGAGCTGGTGTGGTCGTCAGAGGGCGTGTATGCTGTGAAAGAAACTACCTTCGAGATTAAGATCCTCAACAAGAACTTTGTGGTACGTTAGAAAGGAGTGCAAACATCTGTATGTCAGTACACTACACTGCAAGCTGTGGTGGCTAAATCTGCAATGGAGGCTCGTTTGGGCCGGCTCTGGGGCCGGCCTACGTCATGTGCTCTTCCACCCACACCCCTCTCCAAAGCTCTGCCCCTCTTCTACCTCCTGTCCTCGCCCCACACCCCTCTCCGATGCTCTGCCCCTCCCCTACCTCCTGTCCTCGCCCGTCCACACCCCTCTCCTGTGCTCTGCCCCTCCCCTACGTCCTGTCCTCACCCATCCACACCCCTCCCTTGTGTTCTCTGACCGTTCCTTTCCACCATGCAGGAGCGCAAGAGCATCCGGCCAACGTTTTCAGCCGAGGGCATTCACGGGGGCTCTCTGCTTGGAGTGCGGTCGAACGAGTTTGTGTGCTTCTACGACTGGGCTGAGTGCCGCGTGGTTCGCCGCATCGACGTTGCCGTCAAGGTGTGTAGTGCGTGCCCCTGTGCTAGTCAGTTGTCGTTAAGGTGTGTGTGCGCCCCTGTGCGAGTCATTTGGGGCCTTTTGTCTGTGCTTCTACGACTGGGCAGAGTAAGTCGTATCTATGCTATGTCAAATATTGACGTCTCGTTCTCTGTCACTGTCTGCGCTCGTTGTTGTGCTTGTGCTTGTGCACTTCGCCCTCCACCCGTGCCTGTGCAGAACATCTACTGGTCAGACAGTGGCGACTTGCTGGCTATTGCAAGCGAGGGCTCCTTCTACATCCTCAGGTTCAATGTAAGTCCAGAGTTTGTTTCAGTTTTCATTCAGAGTTCGTTTCAAAGCAGGGTTCAATGTTTGTTCCAATGTACGACCCTTGTGGTCTCTGTGGCCGACTGCTCCTGGTGTTGATCGTCGTCCTGTTCCAATTTGACCCTTTGCTTGCTAAATAACAGAGGAATGCAGTGGCAGCTTACCTAGAAAGTGCGAGGGTGCAGAGGATGCATTTGAGCTGCTGCACGAGGTGTTAACCTCTCTCTCAACCCTTCCTTACATACACTGTTCAAATAGAGGGACGCAGTGGCGGCCTATTTGGAGAGCGAGGCAGCTGGGGACGAGGGAGCAGAGGACGCGTTCGAGCTGCTGCACGAGGTGTCGGAGCGAGTGCGCACGGGGTGCTGGGTGGGCGACTGCTTTATCTACAACAACTCAGCGTGGCGCCTCAACTACTGCGTGGGAGGCGAGGTGCGTTTTGAAGGGCAGATTTGTGAGAGCGGGTGCATAATCTAAAAGGAGGGTGAGGGAGAAAGGGCGAGAGGGAGAAAGGGCGAGAGGGTGGAGACACACAGGAGTGCGCATGGGGTGCTGGGTGGGCGACTGCTTATTTACAGCAACTCCGTGTAGCGCCTCAATCTTTGCGGGGGAGGCGAGATGCATAGTGTAGTGGGGTAGGGGACTGTGAATAAGTGTATTTGCATTAGAGAATAGGGAAAAAGAGGGTGCGAGAGGGAGAGAGACGGAGATGAATGCATGGTGTGCTGTTTTAGCATGTTGTACACATTTCCATTACTTGGAAGTTCCACCACCATCCTTTCAAAATCCAAACCCCCACCTTCCCCACCCTACCCTCCCCCCTCACTCCCCCCTGCTCCCCCCCTCCTACCCCCTTAATGTCACCATCACCACCAGGTGACCACCATGTACCATCTCGACCGCCCCATGTACCTGCTGGGCTACCTTAGTTAGTAACCCCCATTACCCCTTCCCCACACCTTGTTCCCGACCCCGTTCCTCTCCCCTCCCCCCTTTATCCCACCACCAGGTGACCACCATGTACCATCTCGACCGCCCCATGTACCTGCTGGGGTACCTTGCCGCCCAGAGCCGAGTCTACCTTATCGACAAGGAGTTCAAGTAAGCCCTGCTTCTTGTGGTTCGCTGCAAATTTCAGCCAGCTGAAAGGCAGGGTAAAGGTGTATCTTGCCTCCTTCTACCACATTCTTATTATCCGATGCAAGGCTCTTGGTTTTCTGAGCTCTTGGCTTCCTGACTGTTTTTTTTTATATCCTCTGCTGTCCCGAACCCACGGCCTCCGTTCAGTGTGTTACAGCCGCTCTGCGCTGAGTCTCATCGAGTACAAGCCTCGCTTGTGCCTGTTGCAAGACTAGTAGAGTTCACTCAATCGCTCGCTCCCCCCTGTCTCCCTGTCTCGCTGCCTCCCTGTCTTGCTGCCTCCTTGCCTTCCCACGCCAGTGTGGTGAGCTACACGCTGCTGCTGAGTCTCATCGAGTACAAGACGCTTGTGCTGCGAGGAGACATGGAGGGAGCAGAGGCCGTTCTGCCCTCCATCCCCACCGACCAGCTCAACAAGTCAGTGCCTCTCTCTCACTCACTCTCGCACTCTCTCGATCGCTTGCATAGTCTAATCAATCAAGCGGCTAGGCCTTCGTTTTGGCTCTCCCTTCTCTTGTCACTAAATTTTTCTCCTTTTGTGGGGTTAAGTGTGAATTTTTTTCTCCTCACTTCTGCTTTGCACTATGATGCGTTCTGCACGCCCCTCTTGCCATGGGGCTTTCTTGTGGAGGTGTCTCATTAAACATCGACCCCCCCTCCAACCCCCACCTCCCTGCCTCCCCATTTTCAACCCGCCCCCTGCTCACACCTCCCCCTTTCACTCGCAGTGTGGCCAAGTTCCTCGAGTCCCGTGGGCTCATGGAGGATGCTCTGCGAGTGGCCACGGACCCCGACTACAAGTTCTCCTGACTGCCCATCCCTTTGTTTCCCTGCAACCCTTTCCCCCACACCCCCCTTCCTCCCGACCTAACCCCTCAACCACTTACAGTGTGGCCAAATTCCTTGAATCTCGTGGGCTCATGGAGGACGCACTGCGAGTGGCCACGGACCCCGACTACAAGTCTTGACAACCCGTTTCTTGCTCCGTCTCCCTGCACCCCCCGCCTACACCCCACTCCCCCCCTTTCCCTCCTCTCTCGCCCCCGCGTACTTTCAGTGTGGCCAAGTTCCTCGAGTCCCGTGGGCTCATGGAGGACGCACTGCGAGTGGCCACGGACCCCGACTACAAGTTCGACCTGGCCGTGCAACTGGGCCACCTTGAGATCGCCAAGGTGTGTATCGTGCTGCTGTCCTCTTTACAATCAGATCTTCAGCGTAAGCATCTGTGTTCCTTTTATGGAGGATGCGCTGCGAGTGGCCATGCACCCCGATTACAAGTTCGACCTGGCAGTGCAACTGGGCCACCTTGAGATCGCAGACCCCTGGGCCAACTTGACAAGTTGTGTATATTGTTCTCCCAAACCCCTTCACAGCACAACCCCACACCCACCACCTCTCAAACCCCCCCACCAACCCCCCCCCCCTCTCCCCCAACCCCGCTCCCCCCCTCAACCCGCCTCTCCTCTTCCTACACTCACCCCCGTTTTTCTGTTGATGCCACTGTAATACTATCTCTTTCCATGATATTGCTTCTCAATGCTGGTCTGTCCTCCACGTTACACTTCACTCTTCTGTGTTGCCTTGCCTTATGGGTGGCGCAATGCCTTGTGCGGGGCCCATTCCTGTTGCCTCCTCTGCATGTTTGAGATAGCAGAGACAGCAGAGAATGGAAGCAAAGGCCTCAAAAGGCACTTATTCCCTCCTCAACTGCCCATTCTCCACCTGCCTCTCTCCCTCCCGTTCCTCCCTTTTCCCCGTTCTCTACCTTTCTGGTGTGTGCAGGAAATAGCCGAGACAGCAGAGAGTGAGAACAAGTGGAAGCAGCTGGGCGACCTCGCTCTGTCAGCAGGCAACGTGAGTGACCTTCTCAATGCATTCAACTGTCTGTGCTGTCAATTAACAGCCCAGTCGCATTTCAGCGTGAGATTGGATGGCGAGATGTGGGTGGGGCAGAGTATGATGGGAGAGAGTGAGGTGGGTCAACAGTGGGGTGAAGGTGAGATTGGGAGCAAATGGAAGCAGCTGGGTGATGTTGCTCTCTCACCTCCCTTCTTTTTGCCTCCCTTTCTCTCACCTCCATTCTTTTCGCCTTCCCTTCTCTCACCTCCCTTCTGTTGCCTCCCCTTCTCACACCTCCCCTTCTATCGCCTCTTCTTCTCTCACCTCCCCTTCTCTTGCCTCCCCTTCTCTCGCCTCCTCTTCTCTCGCCTCCCCTTTTCCCGCCTCCCCTTCTCTCACCTCCCCTTTTTCCGCCCCCCCTTCTCTCTCCTCCCCTTTTCCCGCCTCCCCTTCTCTCTCCTCCCCTTTTCGTGCCTCCCCTTCTCGCACCTCCCCTTCTCTCGCCTCCGCTTCTCTCACCTCCCTTTCTCTCACCCTCCCTCGCGCCTTCCATCTCTCCCTGTACCCTCTTCAGATCGAGCTGGCAGAGAGATGTTTGGGTGCTGCTTCAGACACGAGTGGGCTAATGCTGCTGTACACGGCGCAGGGCAACCGGGACAGCATCCGCCAGCTAACCTGACCGGCTGTCTCCCTCTCTCCTCCCCTTCCCCCTTTTCCCCCCTCGCCTCCGCAAACCTCTCAGATTGAGCTGGCAGAGAGGTGTCTTGGAGCCGCGTCGGACATGAGTGGGCTGCTGCTGTACACGGCGCAGGGCAACAGGGAAGGCATCCGCCAGCTGTCAGGGAGCCCAGTTCCTGACGAAAACATTCTCGTCCCGCCTGCCTTGCCGTTCTTCCCCCCTTCCTTCCCCTTCAGATCGAGCTGGCTGAGAGGTGCCTAGGGGCTGCGTCGGACATGAGTGGCCTTCTACTGCTGTACACGGCGCAGGGCAACCGGGACGGCATCCGCCAGCTGGCGGAGAAGGCCCGGGCGGGCGGCAAGTTCAACGTGGCGTTCCTTTGTCTGTTCCTGCTGCAGCAGACGGAGGAATGCATTGGACTGCTCTGCCAGAGGTATGGAGCAGTGGTATATGTGCATTTGGAGAAATATGTGGCTAGAAATGCACACGAACGAAGTGGAGGGAGGGGGGGTTTGGGGGGGAGGGGAGGGGGGGGGGTTGGGGGGAAGGGGAGGGGGGTTGGGAGGAAAGAATTATATGTTTCTGCCTCGTCTTGAGTCTTCCCCCACCGTTCCACCTTAGTTTCTCCCTGTGTCTTCTATGCCTCACCTGCTACCCTCTTTCATTTCTCCTCTTACGCACGCACCACCTTCCATTCCTCCCTCGCCCACCACCCTCTGCCCCTCTCACCATGCATCCGCCGCCTCTCCTCCCACCATCCCAGTGGACGAATTCCCGAGGCTGCCTTCCTTGCACGCACCTATGTGCCGTCCAAGGTGTCTGAAGTGGTGGAGCTGTGGCGGGCCGACCTCAAGAAGGTATGTCACTGGCAGTGAAGGTGCAACGCAGGGCAGCACGTGCAGAGAGTGCAGCAGGTGTGATAGAGAGCAACCGGTATGAGACCATATGAGTCCAGCACTACCATGCTGCCTTCCTTGCACGCACCTACGTGCCATCCAAGGTGTCTGAAGTTGTGGACTGTGGCGGGCTGACTTGAAGAAGGTATGTTCCGGGGAGAATGTGCAGCACAGCACACAGGGCAGCGCATGCAATTATGAAGCATCCCCCCTGCATACTTTCTGATGAGGCTGGCGAACCCAGCAGATTACCCTAACCTCTTCCCCAAATCTTGTCCTCCTCTCACTGTGTGCCTTGCTCTCCACCCTTATGTGCATCTCCACTGTCACTGCAGATAAACGCCAAGGCAGCAGAGTCACTGGCCGACCCAGCAGAGTACCCCAACCTCTTCCCCAACTGGGCTCTTGCCCTTCAAGCAGAGGAGCAACTCCGGGCAGCCAGGTGAGGTGCAAGGGGGGAATGAGGTTAGTAAATGGTAAAAAAATATAAATGTGAGATTAGGTGCGAGCGAGGGTTCGAATCATTCAAGTAAAGCAATTCGGTTGAACGCTAACACCAATGGAGCAGCTCCAGAGCGAGCTCTGTTGCTTCTCCACTGCTTAGTTGCTGCCCTGTCCCCTGATTCTTTCCCTATCACCCGCTGGCCCCGCTGCAATTCATACAGTTCAAGGATAGCTTGCCTTTCTATAAATGCGTGAGCTGTGCGTGCATGCTTCTGTGCTCTGCTCTCTCACTTGTGTTCTGCAGGGAGACAGAGGAACCAGCTCTGCGGTACCTGGAACTCAAGGATAGCATCAACTCAGACCCAGTGGATGAGCTTAGAGCAGCAGCAGAGGAGGCTGAGGTGGAGGGGGAGGCAGAGGAAGCAGAGGCAGAGGCTGTGGCAGAGGGAGATGTGGCTGAAGAGGCTGTGGAGGAAGTTGCAGAAGCAGCTGCTGAGGTGAGTACACATACTAGTGTCTAGATCCCCCTATGTTGGCAATGTGGCCTACACGTTTCTCATTTCCTCCCTTGTGGCTGTGATCAAACTGGTCAAGAATATCCACAGATAATAATGAGGCGCTTTTCTGTGTGTGCCTTTTCTCTTGCTGCGTGTTTTAGGAGGACTTCGGTGATGCAGACGCAAGTGGCGAGGCAGGAGCTGGAGATGCGGATGATATCGACGATGACTGGGGCGAGGAAGACCCGTAGAGAACCTTACCACGCCACAAATGGGTATTAATTGAATGTCATGAATGGCTGGATGGGCAATGCTGATTTATATTTACCATAGCAAGGACTAAGGTGGTGGAGAATATACGTACTTCAGAAGATGGGCAGGGCACTCTTCATACCACAGAAACCTCTGTACTTGTGGGCTGCATGCAACCTTTGTATGCAAGAGATGAAAAACAAAACTAGGTTTGGGGTGGAATCTCATTTTCTATCAATGTTCCAACACTACTTTTGTATACTGAGCTATGGTAAAAAAACAAGATGGTACCCGTGTTACACATTTGTTCGATGAGGGTCACACCCTTCCAACAAAAGTAGTATCAACCTATGAGTGACACAGACGTGGCTGCTTATCCTGGTGCACTAAGGCGGCCTCACAAGTCGGCCATTGGGATCCCGATTCCACAAACCCTTCAGTTCAATGGTGCAGTTACTTTGTAAGGTGCAGAGGTAGTAGAAGCATGCAGGCTGCGACATCTCAGCTTCCAATAACCTTGCATGTGCATCCTGCCATGCGTGGACAGCACCTGTTTCCCATCCTAGGCCAACTTCCGAACTGCATGGTGCATGGGCTTTTTTCTGAACAGCATGAACAACTCCCATGTAGGTGAGTCCGAGTAAGGCGTAGCAACACATCAGAAAGCCTCCGGCAGTTCTTAGTAGTAAATGGAGATTTCCAGAACCTTCTCTCCATTCGCAGGTCAAATCATCGATGAGCTTTAGGCTGGAAACGATGGATTGCACTGAACACTGAGCACCTGGAGGAAAATGATCGGATGAGAACATCAGTCGACTGATTCTCTCAGTCAATAAATTTCTTCCCTTGTACATACCATGAACTGTACTCATGGGCCAATAGCTTTCCGTAAGATCTTCTCCAGCGCACGTTGGTAGAGGAGCAGGACCATCAAACAGAAGCACAAGCTCAGTAGTCCCTGGCAACGCTGCATTTATTTAGTTAGTACAAGCCGACTTGCAAGCACAGATACAAGAATACTTACAGTTAGTTGACAGAGACCTTTCTTCCTCGGGGTCGATGTCTCTTTCGTCAATGTCCAAACGCTGGACGCCCGTAACTGGGAAAAAGGAATATTCAATGACGGTAATGCGTGTTGTTGTCACACGTACCAGTGCAGGAAAGGCGAGCATACCTTGGAAGGCATGCCTGATGACGTGCGTTGATTGACCCCCGTGTGGAATTCGGACTGTCAATGTTCCTCGTTTTGACGGAGATTGGGAACCGCCATACTTGAAGGCGTACGAGCTCGTCTTATTCATTTCCATCGACCAGCTCCATCTCTAATGACAGGAAACCGATAAGTTATCATATGAAGAACATAGCGCGTGAACGAGTATAAATCGAACCTGGCCTTCAATGTCGACTCGAAGATGAACAACTCGGGGCTGCGTGAGAAAAGTTGTACCCAAAGTGACATTCCTGCAAAGATTGCATGGGGTTATGATACCCGTTGAGTCGCTTGCAACTGAAAGAAATGGCGGGAATACAGTACCCGAACAGTAAAAACGGTGGGCCCTGTATTTGTGGCTCGTCACTGCTGGTAGCGACGACACCAAGAGTTGCAGATTGGAAAGATAGCATCAATGCAAACACCACGGCTATTCCAACTTCGGATGCTAGAAAGCGCTTCATTGCGCTGCGTGCAACTGTAATAAGAAAGCGCAGTTGCAAAATGACAGTAACTAGGCGAGCGTTTTTTTAAGAATAGACACCAGCTTCCTGCTGCGATCAGCACAAGACCCGATCATGGATTCTTCTGTGCTCTGCTCACTTCTGGGGACATGTAGGGCTTGGAGGCAGACAATTTCGCTTGGGGTTGTTTGAAATTGTCGAAGAGCGTGTTGCTCTTGACGACCCGCATCACCAAACCAGGGTTTGTTTCATCGAGGGTGGTTAGAAATAACGAATGTCGCACCGCGCGGTTCAAAATCCGTCGGGAGCAATTCGTCCATCATTTCCTTCTTCGCGAACGATCACAGGAGCTCGCGTATTCCCTGTTTGCAATCCATCTGTCGCTCGGCGTCGTTGTTCCCAAGGGGGGCCAGGTTTCCCTCTCATCCAAACATTTCCGTTGAGATGAACCACCCTGAAGAACGCTTCGCAACCAAGCAAGTGCTTGACAGGTCTCATGATCATCCCCTCGTTTTCCCAGCGGACCTGCTCCTTCCTCCTTCCCTCGCTCCCCTTCTCCCGCTTCCTTGCCTTCCTCCCTTATCCCCCAACCCTCACAAGCGGAAGATATCGTTCCAGTGCCTTTCTACCTTCTTGTTCCATGAGGTGTTAAACTTGGCGCCATTTTCTTGATACCATCAATCGGCAACACGTAGCAACGGCTTCCTTCACGATGCGGATCAGGCCCGCGATCGGACGGTTGTCAGAGGATCTGCTCTCTCAGATCCTCCACCTCGTCGGCGAATCAGGCAACTATTTCCAGCACGCTCTCGTTTCTAAGGAATGGCATCGCATCGCTTGTCGCGTACAGGACTACATTCACTTGCAAGAGGACCGTCGCATGAGTCCGCGTCAACTGCTTAACGAACTCTTGTCGTTCCCTAGCCTCACGAGGCTCGTTCTTCCATCCGGCAGCCTTGCCTCCGTCCCTGACTTTTTTCTCACCCGTCTCGCCGACACGTGTCCAGATCTGCTTCAGCTTCACATCGAATCAACGGATCAGATTCACAGACGCGGGGGGTTCACCCAACAGGGCCTTTCCGCGCTTCTCGAGGGTTGTGCTCGCCTGGAGGAACTTCATCTGGATTGCCCTCCCCGTCTCACCGCCATTCCGCCTTCCATCGGCGGTCTCGCTTGGCTCAGGGATCTGCATCTCACGGCAAGCAGCGTCACTCACCTCCCCGACAGTATCACCTCGTTACAGTCGCTCGAAAACCTAGTTCTACACATGGACTCCCTTGAAGAACTACCTCCGGTTTTCGGCAATCTGATATCTCTCGAATCGCTGCGCCTGGAGTCGTGCTGGTCTCTCACGTCACTCCCGGAATCTCTTGGACAACTTGCTAATCTAGACCATCTCTACATTAGTCGCATCAGCAGACTTCAGCTTCCGGAATCCCTTTGCAATCTCTCATCTCTGGTGGTCCTCGAGATTCACAACTGCCTGGATCTTTTGCCGCTGCCCGAAAATCTCGGGCAGCTGCAGCGGCTGCGGCTCCTGCAACTGATTAAGTGCTTCGGTATTGTGTCCCTGCCCGGATCCCTGTCTCGTGTGTCGTCCCTCACGGGTCTCAACCTGGTTGTCCCAACACTTACAATGCTGCCCGATGACGTCGGGCAGCTATCGAATCTTCAAAGCCTCATGCTGAATGCTCAGAGCCTTACAAGCCTCCCTGCTTCCATCTCTCTGGCCTCTGCACTACGAGAGCTGGTTATTGATGCTCTTCGAACTGTTACATCCCTGCCTGAAGAAATTGGCCAGCTGACAGCCCTGGAATCCCTCCGCCTGGCCAGCCTTCCACAGCTCAACCACCTGCCTGAATCTCTTGGAAACTTGACAAATCTTGAGGAGTTGAAAGTGGTGAAGTGCGTGCGGTTGCATCAGCTGCCCGATTCTCTATCCCGTCTATCTGCATTGGAAAAGTTGGATCTGAGCGAAAACCGGAGGCTCACGGCTCTACCAGACGGCTTGGGAAACGGCCTACGCAACTTACGGGAACTCATCCTACCGCATTGCAAGGCCCTCACTCACCTCCATCCATCCTTCTCCAGTCTTATTTCACTTGAAACCCTAAAAATCCTGCAAGCAGATAGCTTCAGAGGACCCCTGCCGGAGGGCTTTGGCTGCCTGAAAAGCCTCAGGAAGCTCTGGCTCTGCTCCATTTCGCACCCTTCAGCCTTCCCTTATCCTCTCCCTGGCCTCTCCCGCTCGCTCACCAGCATGTTAGTGGCCAACCGTGAAGAATTAAAAGAGCTTCCTGAGGAAATTGGATGGCTGGAGGCACTTGAAGAGCTCACAATCTCGAAGCTGTATGGCTTGAAATCGCTCCCGAAGTCACTGTTTCAGCTGCCCAGATTGCGGGTGCTGCATGTGGTTGCGTGCATGGGGCTTGTAGCTTTATTCGGGGATGAAACGCTGGGAGCAGCTGAGCAGGAGCAGGAAATCACTTGTAGCAACTCCCATGGCAGCGGCAATTGCGCGAACGGCAACAGCAGCAGCAGCAGTGGCAGGCCGAGCAGGAGAGCTGATCAGCTGCTGCTTCCATCGCTGCAAGAACTCAAGCTTGCGGTTCTTCCTTTTGAAACCCTTGGCCCGTCCCTGAGCCGTCTCTCCTCCCTAACGAGCCTAGTGCTTTCAGAGATGCATGTGCTGCTCTCACTCCCAGAATCCATCTCTGCGCTGTCAAATCTGCAAAAGCTCGTGATTACTTATTCCGGCAGTCTGGAGACCTTGCCAGACCCAATAAGAAGCCTCTCCAGGCTTGTTTCGCTGCAGTTGGTTGAGCTTGGAAACTTGCGTGAGCTGCCCGAGACGTTCGGGCAGCTGAACATGCTACAGTCATTGGAAATCAGAGGGTGTGCAAAGCTGGCCCAACTTCCAGGAAGCTTCTCCAAACTGTCCAAGCTAACATCTTTTGCCCTTACCAGCTGCCCCCTGATTTCATTCATCCCAGAGGATTTTTGGCAGCTTTGCTCCCTTCAGAACCTGGCGTTGATCAGCCTGCCAAATCTTTTGAGCCTTCCCGAATCCCTATCGCAGCTTCCTCGGCTGGAGGTTCTGAAGCTGTGGTTTTGTGAGCGGCTGGGCCAGCTACCGTCATCTCTTGCAGAAATGCCAAAGTTGCATCAGTGCTTTATCCGCGAGTGTCCCCTGCTTTCGGACCAAAGGATTTGGTTTATGTATGGGAGGGGGGATATGGACGAGGGAGTGGAGGGAGACAGTGGGGTGGAGAGCACGGAGGGGTTTGTGGCAGGGGAGGAAGGAGATGAAGATGATGGAGAGGAGTCAGAAGAAGTTGAGAAGGAAGAGGATGGAAGTGATGAGGAGGATGGGGATGATGAGCATGACAGTGATGATGATGAGGCGGAGGAGGAGGAAGAGGAGGAAGGCCAGGAGGAAGGGGAAAGTGAAGATGGTGCAGATGGGGGGATGAGGAGGGCCACGAGTGAAGAGGGGGATGAGAGTGAGGAGGGTGTTGAGGAGGAAGATGAAGGTGAGAAGGGAAATGGTGTTTTCTAGCGGGGACAGTTTTCCATTGTAGCTCTTCCTGAGTGAGGCCGGCTGAATGAAGGTTGAATTGGAGTTCCTCATGAGTAGCGATCAAGTATTTGATAAAGTGCATGCTGTTTGTGAAATACCTTCGGAATGAGCCTTTGAATTCTTTTCATTGCATTCATTGACAGCTTCTTGACCTTCATAACATGTTCACTCGTGACCAAAACCCTAGCAACCGTGCTGTACAGTAATCGCTCTGACATGCGAAACATCTTGCCAACCCACGTCAAATTGAACCTTTTTCACACCTCCCTTCGCCCTCGTCTCCTCCCCCCCCCCCTCCCCCTTTAATTTTTCTTCTTTTTCTGGTGTGTGCAGGAAATAGCTGAGACAGCAGAGAGTGACAACATGTGGAAGCAACTTGGCGATGTCGCTCTGTCAATGTGAGTGAGCTTTTCAATGTGAGTGAGCTTCTCAATGTGAGTGAGCTTGTCTGTGTGAGTGAGCTTCTCAATGTGAGTGAGCTTGTCAGTGTGAGTGAGCTTGTCAGTGTGAGTGAGCTTGTCAGTGTGAGTGAGCTTGTCAGTGTGAGTGAGCTTGTCAGTGTGAGTGAGCTTGTCAGTGTGAGTGAGCTTGTCAGTGTGAGTGAGCTTGTCAGTGTGAGTGAGCTTGTCAGTGTGAGTGGGCTTGTCAGTGTGAGTGAGCTTGTCAGTGTGAGTGAGCTTGTCAGTGTGAGTGAGCTTGTCAGTGTGAGTGAGCTTGTCAGTGTGAGTGAGCTTGTCAGTGTGAGTGAGCTTGTCAGTGTGAGTGAGCTTCTCAGTGTGAGTGAGCTTCTTAGTGTGAGTGAGCTTTCAGGGCGAATGTAACTGAAGAAGGTATGTTTTGGGGTGAATGTACAGCACAGCACACAGGGTGGCACATGCAATAGCCAGCAGGCAGTGTGTGTGCACCAACAAAGGGCGGTCTTCCTTGCACGCACCTATGTGCCATCCAAGGTGTCTGAAGTGGTGGAGCTGTGGCGAGCAGACCTTAAGAAGGTATGTACAGCACACGGGGCATTACATGCAACAGCCAGCAGGCAGTGTGTGTGCACCAACACAGCAGCCTTCCTTGCACGCACCTACATGCCATCCAAGGTGTCTGAAGTGGTGGAGCTGTGGCGGGCCGACCTGAAAAAGGTACGTCACTGACTGGCAGAGAAGGTGCAACTGGGGGCAGCACGTGCTGTAGGTTGCAGTATGTGCAATAACCAGCAGCCGGTGTGTGTGCACTACACCCACATTCCTTGCACACACCTACGTGCCATCAAAGGTGTATGAAGTGGTGGAGCTGTGGCGGGCCAACCTTAAGAAGGTGCGTGACTGGCAGTGAAGGGCAGCGAAGGTGCAGCACAGGGCAGCATGTGCAGTAGATGGCAGCAGATGTGATAGAGAGCAACTGGTATTGAGTCCAACGCGACAATGCTGCCTTTCATGACCACACAAACGTGCCATCCAAGGTGTCTGAAGTTGTGGAGCTGTGGCGGGCCGACCTGAAGAAGGTATGTTCCGGGGAGAATTTTCAGCACAGCACACAGGGCAGCGCATGCAATAATGAATGCATCCGTGTTTCGCAGGATTGCCCCTACATACTTTCTGATGAGATCAGTATGAAGGCAACGAAGTCCCTGAACAGTCCAGCAGAGTCACAGGCTGGCGAACCCATCAGATTACCCGATGGTCTTCCCCAACTCTTGTCCTCCTCTCACTGTGGCCCTACATACTCTCTGATGAGATCAGTACCAAGGCAGCAGAGTCTCTAGACAGTTTAGCAGAGTCACCGGCGGACTCAGCAGATCACCTTAACCTCTTCCCCAACTGGTGTCCTCCTCTCACTCTGTGCCTTGCTCTGCACCCTTCTGTGTATCCCCACCATCACTGCAGATCAACGCCAAGGCAGCAGAGTCCCTGGCCGACCCAGCAGAGTACCCCAACCTCTTTCCCAACTGGGCTCTCGCCCTTCAAGCAGAGGAGCAACTCCGGGCAGCCAGGTGAGGTGTAGAGCAAGAATAAGGTGAGTAGACGACGAGAAAAGTCTGAGAATAAGGTGCGAGTGAGGGTTCAGATGGTTTAAGTCGAGCAATTAGGCTGAACCCTATTCACAGTGGAGCAGCACCAGAGCGAGCTCTGTTGCTTCCCCGCTGCTTCTTTGCTGCCCTGTCGCCTGATTCTTTCACTGTCACCTTCTGGCCGCGCTGCAATACCTGCAGCTCAAGGACAGCATTCACTTTATTAAATGCGTGAGTTGTGCGTGAATGATTCTGTGCTCTGCTCTCTCGCTTGTGTTCTGCAGGGGGACAGAGGATTTGGCGCTGCGATACCTGGAGCTCAAGGATAGCATCAACTCAGACACCCAGTGGATGAGCTTAGAGCAGCAGCAGAGGAGGCGGAGGTGGAGGGGGAGGCAGAGGAGGTAGAGGCAGAGGCAGAGGCAGAGGGAGAGGTGGCTGAAGAGGCTGTAGAGGAAGTTACGGAAGCAGCTGCTGAGGTGAGTACACATACCAGTAGTGTCTAGATCTCCCTACGTTGGCTATGTGAGGTACACGTTTCTCATTTCCTCCCTTGTGGCACTGGTCAAACTGGTCTAGAATATCCACTGATAATAATGAGGCTCTTTTCTTTGCGTGCCTTTTCTTTTCTGCGTGTTTTAGGAGGATTTTGGTGATGCAAATGCAACTGGCGAGGCAGGAGCTGGAGATGCGGATGATATCGACGATGACTGGAGCGAGGAAGACCCGTAGAGTAGAGAACCTTACCACGCCACAAATGGTATTACCGTATTCTCCCGGATATAAGACCCGGGGGACTTTCCTAAAATAGAGGTAAAATGACCAGGGTGAACATTTAATCGGAGCGAGTTGTAAAAGTCCTGGGTACACTTAATAATCATGTACACTTATGCGATTTAGGAGTGTACACATGAATTTGAAGGGGGGGGGGGGGGGGGGGGGGGGGGGGGGGGGGGGGGGGGGAATCTGGCCGGCCGGAATTAGCGAAAGTAACGCTATTGCGACAATCGCACAAATCTTCGTGCACTTCGCCAAATCCGGCCATTTGTTAAAAAAATGATGGCCGGTTCAGCATTCGACAAAGTTCCGACGAGCAGTCGTCTCGCCAGTCGACAAATTTGTCGACTTGAAATCGCTACAGTAACTACGCGACGTCGCCAACTTGTGCGATGCAACGTGTCACACAAGTATTGGATCTGCGATTGCGTCGCACGATCCGGCCACCCTCGCGATCTGCTAATCTGACACATTTGCAAAGCGGCCTGCAAATCGGCCACCAAATGTGTCAGATTTTTCACCCCCGTAAATGTGGCCGGATAGTGGTCGTTTTTTATGTCGACCCTGTTGTCGACTTTGGCGAAAGATTTAGTCGACCAAATTGTCGACCAAATTCCAGCCAAAACACTTTGTAACGGATCTGACGCACCGTTATGTTCGAACCGAAAAAATCTCGCGTCTGCGAAACTCGTGCGAGCGGCGCGTCAGAAGCGTCAGATTTCGCATCTGACATGATTGGTGTGGCAGAACCCGAATCTGACACAAATGACGCGTCAGATTTCGGATTATGTGCCTCTATAAGGTGACGCGCATTTCTTATTTTAACTAGTGTATACAGAAATGGGGGGTCTTCAATTGTTTTATAGCAAAAGGGGGGTCCTATCATATAGCATACATAAGTCCCAGACCCGGTCCCAGACCCGATCATAAGTCCCGGGGGTCTTTTTTTCGGGAGGGTCCTATATCCGGGAGAATACGGTATTCGAATGTCATGAATGACTGGATGGGCAATGCTGATTTGGACCGTATTTACCATAGCAAGGACTAAGGTGGTGGAGAACACACTTCAGAACATGGGCAGGCAGGGCAGTCTTCATACCAGACCTTTGTACTTCTGGGCTGCATGTAACCTTTGTACGCAAGAGATGGAAAACAAAATTGGCTTGGAGTGGAATCTCACTGTCAATCAATGTACCAACACTGTCAATCAATGCATCTACTGAGCTATGGCAAAAAAACAAGACAGGTATTACACATTTGTTTGTTGAGGGTCACACCCTCCCAACAAAAGTATCAACTTTATGAGTGACACAGATGTGGCTTCTTATCCTGGTGCACTATGGTGGCCTCACAAGTCGGCCATTGGGATCTCGATTCCACAAACCCTTGAGCTCAATGGTGCAGTTACTTTGTGGGGTGCAGAGGTAGTAGAAGCATGCAGGCTGCGACATCTCAGCTTCCAATAACCTTGCATGTGCATCCTGCCATGCGTGGACAGCACCTGTTTTCCATCCTAGGCCAACTTCCGGACTGCATGGTGGATGGGCCTTTTTCTGACCAGCCTGAACAACTCCCATGTAGGTGAGTCCGAGTAAGCTGTAGCAACACATCATAAAGCCTCCAGCAGTTCTTAGAAGTAAATAAAGATTTCCAGAACCTTCTCTCCGTTCGCAAGTCAAATCATCGATGATCTTTAGGCTGGAAACGATGGATTGCACTGAACAATGGGCACCTGGAGGAAAATGATCGGATGAGAACATCAGTCGACTGATTATCTCACTCAATAAATATTTTCCCTTGTACATACCATGAATTGTACTCATGGGCCAATAGCTTTCTGTAAGATCTTCTCCAGCGCACGTTGGTAGAGGAGCAGGACCATCAAACAGAAGCACAAGCTCAGTAGTCTCTGGCAACGCTGCATGTATTTAGTTAGTACTAGCCGTCTTGCAAGCACAGATACAAGAATACTTACAGATAATTGACACAGGCCTTTCTTCCTCGGGGTCGATGTCTCTTTCGTCAATGTCCAAAACGCTGGACGCCCGTAACTGGGAAAAAAGATTCAATGACGGTACTGCTGTTGTCACACGTACAAGGCAAGGAAAGGCGAGCATACCTTGGAAGGCATGCCTGATGACGTGCGTTATTTGACCCCCGTGTGGAATTCGGACTGTCAATGTTCCTCGTTTTGACGGAGATTGGGAACCGCCATACTTGAAGGCATACGAGCTCGTCTTATTCATTTCCAACGACCAGCTCCATCTCTAAAGACAGGAAGCCGATAAGCTATCACACTGAAGAACATAGCGTGTGAATGAGTAGAAATCGAACCTGGCCTTCAATGTCGACTCGAAGATGAACAACTCGGGGTTGTGTGAGAAAAGTTGTACCCAAATTGACATTCCTGCAAAGTTTGCATGGGGTTATGATACCCGTTGAGTCGCTTGCAACTAAAAGAAATGGCGGGAATACAGTACCCGAACAGTAAAAACGGCGGGCCCTGTTTTTGTGGCTCGTCACTGCTGGTAGCGACGACATCAAGAGTTGCAGATTGGAAAGATAGCATCAATGCAAACACCACGGTTATTCCTACTTCGGGTGCTAGAAAGCGCTTCATTGCGCTGCGTGCAACTGTAATAAGAAAGCGCAGTTGCAATATGACAGTAACTAGGCGGGCGATTTTTTTAGAATATACACCAGCTTCCTGCTTCGATCAGCACAAGACCCGATCATGGATTCTTCTATGCTCTGCTCACTTCTGGGAACATGAAAAGCTTGGCAGGCGATCCCGCTTGGGGTTGCCTTCACAATCTGCATCACCAAACCAGGGTTTGTTTCACCGAGGGTGGTTACCGGAAATAACGAATGTCGCAGTGCGGGGTTAAAAAACGGTCGGGAGCTCGCATATTCCTTGATTTGCTGGGTTCGCGCTGAAACTACTTCGCAACCAATCAAGTGCTTGACAGGCCCCATCCCCTCATTTTCCCAGCGGACCTTCTCCTTCCTCCCCTTCTCTTCCCTCCATCCCCTTCTCCCCCCTTATCCCCCAACCCTCTGAAGTAAAAAAAATCCTTCCCGTGTCTCTCCATCTTCTTGTTCCAGGAGGTGTTATACTGGTCGCCATCAATTGGCAACGCGTAGCAACGGCTTCCTTAACGATGCGGGTCAGGCCCGCGATCGGACGGTTATCAGAGGATCTGCTCTCCCAGATCCTCCACCTCGTCGGCGAATCAGGCAGCTATTTCCAGCACGCTCTCGTCTCTAAGGAATGGCATCGCATCGCTTGTCGCGTACAGGGCTACATTCACTTGCAAGAGGACCGTCGCATGAGTCCGCGTCAACTGATTTCCGAGCTCTCGTCGTTCCCTAGCCTCACAAGGCTTGTCCTTCCCTCCGGCAGCCTCGCCTCCGTCCCGGACTTCTTCCTCGCCCGTCTCGCCGACACGTGTCCAGATCTGCTTCAGCTTCACATCGAATCAACGGATCAGATTCAAAGACGCGGGGGGTTCACCGAACAGGGCCTCACCGCGCTTCTTGAGGGTTGTGCTCGGCTGGAAGAACTTCATCTGGATTGCCCTCCCCGTCTCACCGCCATTCCGCCTTCCATCGGCGGTCTCGCTTGGCTCAGGGATCTGCATCTCACGGCAAGCAGCGTCACTCACCTCCCCGACAGTATCACATCGTTACAGTCTCTCGAAAACCTAGTGCTGCAGATGGACTCCCTTCAAGAACTACCTCTGGTTTTCGGCAACTTGACATCTCTAGAATCGCTGCGCCTGGAGTCTTGCGCGCTTCTCACGTCACTCCCGGAATCTCTTGGGCAACTTGCGAATCTAGACCATCTTTACATTAGTGGCACCATCAGGCTTCAGCTTCCAGCTTCCCTTTGCAATCTCTCATCTCTGGTGGTCCTCGAGATTCACAAGTGCCAGGATCTTTCTCCGCTGCCCGAGAATCTCGGTCAGCTACAGGCGCTCGAAATTTTGCTTCTGGACGATGTGATGGGCCTCACGGATTTGCCAGAGTCTCTCGGGCAGCTGCAGCGGCTGCGGCTTTTGCAGTTGATTGGCTGCTTCGGTATTATGACCCTGCCCGGATCCATCTCTCGTGTGTCGTCCCTCACGGGTCTCAACCTGGTTGTCCCAACACTTACAAGGCTGCCTGATGACGTCGGGCAGCTATCAAATCTTCAGAGCCTCATGCTGGATGCTCAGAGCCTTACAAGCCTCCCTGCTTCCATCTCTCTGGCCTCTGCACTCCGAGAGCTAGCCATTGACGGTCTTCGAACTGTTACATTGCTGCCCGAAGAATTCGCGCAACTGACGGCGCTTGAGTCCCTCCGCCTGGCCAACCTTCCACAGCTCACCCACCTGCCAGAATCTCTTGGAAACTTGACCAACCTTGATGAGCTGAAAGTGGTGAAGTGCGCAAGATTGCAGCGGCTGCCCGATTCTCTATCCCAGTTATCTGCCCTTGAAAAGCTGGATGTGAGTGAGAACCGGAGGCTCACGGCTCTACCAGATGACATGGGAAACGGCCTCCACAGCCTGCGGGAACTCCTCCTACTTCCTTGCAAAGCCCTCACTCATCTCCCTTCATCCTTCTCCAGTCTCTTGTCGCTCGAAACCCTGAGAATCTTGAATGCAGAGAGCTTTAGAGGGCCCCTGTCTGACGGCTTTGGCTGCTTGAAAAGCCTCAAGGAGCTCTGGCTGTGCTCCTTGCCGCACCTCTCAGCCTTCCCTTCGTCACTCCCCGGGCTTTCCCGCACACTCACCAGCATGTTAGTGGCAAACTGTTTGGAGATAAAGGAGCTGCCTGAGGAGATCGGACGGCTGGAAAGGCTTGAAGAGCTCACGATCTCGAAGTTATACGGTGTGGAATCGCTCCCGAAGTCGCTGTTTCAGCTGCCTGCGTTGCGGGAGTTACATGTGCTGGGGTGCACGGGGCTTGTAACATTGTTTGGGGATGAAACGGTGGGAGCAGCTGAGCAGGAGCAGGGACAGGTTGCCACCACTGGTAGCAGCTCCCGTGGTAGCGGCAGTTGCAATCTGAACGGCAGCAGCAGCAGCAGCAGCAGCAGGTCGAGCAGGAGAGCTGATTACCAGTTGCTTCCATCTCTGCAATGTCTCAAGCTCACTGCTCTTCCCTTTAAAGCCCTCGGCCCGTCTCTGAGCCTTCTCTCCTCCTTGACAAGCCTAAAACTTATAGAGATGAATGCGCTTCTCTCTCTCCCAGAATCTTTCTCTGAGCTGTCGAATCTGCAAGAGCTTGTGATTTCTCATGCTAGCAGTCTGGAGGCCTTGCCAGACTCAATAGGAAGCCTTCCCAAGCTTTCTTCTCTGCAGCTGATTAGGCTTGAAAACCTGTGTGAGCTTCCCGAGTCTTTTGGGCAGCTGAACATGCTTCAGTCTCTGCAGATCGATGACTGCGCAAAGCTCGCCCGGCTTTCGAGAAGCTTCAGTAACCTGTCCAAGCTGACTTCTTTTTCCCTTACTAGCTGCCCGCTAATCTCATACATTCCAGATGATTTTTGGCAGCTTTGCTCCCTTCAGAACCTGGTTTTGATCAACCTGCCGAACCTTGAGAGCTTGCCCGAGTCTTTTTCGCAGCTGCCCCGGCTGGAGGAACTGAAGCTGTGGTACTGTGAGCGCCTGCGTCAGCTACCGTCGTCTCTTTCGAAAATGCCAAAGTTGCTTCAGTGCAACATCCGTGAGTGTCCCCTGCTTTCGGACCGAAGGACTCGGGTGATTTATGGGAGGGGGGATATGGAAGAGGGAGAGGAGGGAGAGGGAGGGACGGAGGGCACGGAGGGGTTCGCGGCAGGGGAGGAAGGAGATCAAAATGATGAAGAGGAGTCGGAAGATGACGAAGAGGATTCGGAAGAAAGCGAGGAGGAAGATGAAAGAGACGATGATGAGGACGAGGATGGTGACGACGAGGACGACGCTGAGGAGGAAAGCGAGGATGGAGATGGGGGAGATGAAAGCGATGAGGACGACGAGGGCGATATGGGAGATGGTGCTGCGTAAATGGGCCTATTTTTCATACCGTCACTCTGAATTTGGCAGGCTGATTGTGTGCTAATTTGCGAAGTTTCCATAATACTTCATTACTACTGTTAATTTACAAATATGTTGTGTCAGTGTGGGTATTTATGTGGGTCTTGGATCTAGAAAAATGTTAATAAGACTACTATTTATTACTTGCTATATCCTATCCACCCACGGCAGAAATGCTAATTCAAAAGGCCATACGCCAACCGCTCTGACACGCAACAAACCTCACAAAACCGCATCAGCGGAAACTCTTGTTGCACGCTCTTGGTCTTGGGTGGGGTGTTGCCTGAACGGGAGAACTACAGGCAGGCGATGCGGCAGCAGATCGCTTTGCTAACCGGGTAGCAGCCCTTTGGTGACGGAAGGTCGTATAGTAGCACGCCGCTCACTAGCTCGATATAGGAACGCAACTGTAATGTAGCGGCGTCGTCGCACCGCTCCTACCGACACATCGTACTGCTGTCGTTTAGTTCAGCGAACGGCTAACAGTCTTCCGACGTCATGCTCCGCCAGGTGGTAGCACGACAGCGGCAGCTGGCGAGAGCCGCGGCTGTCGCCGTGTCTTCAGCCTCGTCTTCCGCCGCACTCCCCGCGATCCCGTCCGCCTCGTCCGCCTCGTCCGCCTCGCCCACCGCTGTATTCGGAAGTTGCACTTTCAAGATCGTGTCGTCATTTTCCACTTTGCGAACAATATTTTTGCCACGTAACTCCAACCTTGTACGTTTTGCTGTGCGTTTAACATGTGCTCGTCAAAACTCTCCTCGTGCTGCCAAATCCGCATAGCAAGCTATCAGAAAGTATAGTTCTGATGTCACACCAGCAGTGGATGCAGCAGTCGTTTTTGAGAATTCTCTAAATAAAGATGTCGTTTTTTTTTGGAAGTTAAATCGATATCGGTCAGTAATTGTGTGCTTACGGAAGTGAATGGAGCAGCCAATAGGGGGGATTTCTCACGTTTAGAGAAAATGCAAGGGAAGGTTTCAGAAGGTAGTTTTGAGGATCAAGTAAGACAGGGCAGGTGTGGAAGTTGCAACTAAGATTTATTTTGTAGAAGTTTCGTCAGACAATCATATTCCCACTTCAGAGGTCCGTTTTGCTCCTGCCTGTCTCCTTCCCCCCTCCCCTTACCCCCTTTTAACACCACAGTTCTCAATCCTCCACGTCCCACAGCTCTCCTTCCCCGTCCGTTCAAAACCCGCTGTCCTTCTAGGCATTCCGTCTCTTTCCCCATTCCCATCGCCATCCCCATTGTGCTTTCGGTTGCCATTGCCGTCACTATTGCTGCAGCAGGCAGGAGACAAGTTCTGAGGAGCTTCAAAAATAGAAGCGCATGCTCAAACCTCACCCTCTCTCCCCATTCTCATCTATCCCCATCGCCATTTCTGTTGCCATTGCCGTCACTATTGCTACAGCAGGCAGGAGTGGTTGGCACGAAAAGCTGTTCCTCCCCCATCTCATCCTCCTCTCTGATCACTAGCCATGGCCTTGCCACGTCAGCTGTATCCACATCAGCTGCTGCAGCCACGTCAGCCTCGTTTCCAACAGCCGCGTCCGCAGGAGTATCCACATCAGCATCGGCAAGAACAGCATCAATATCAGCAGCAGCAGGAGCATCAGGAGTAGGAGGAGGAGGGGTAGCAATGCAGACAGGGAGGGTTGGAGATGCAGCAGCAGGAGAGCAGGGAATAGGGAATGGGAGGATCCGAGTGAAGACAAAGGCACTGACGAAGCAAGCCAAGCACATCATGAATGTGAGTCAGCGTGAGCATGCAGAGCATTTAGTATGCAGCAGCAGGGGAACAGGGAATGGGGAATGAGAGGATAGGATTAGAATTAAAGCCACTGGCGAAGCAAGCAATGAACAGCAATGTGAGCATGCATGCATCACGAGCATGCGGCAGCATCCATCCAGCATGCAGACGCCTTCGGATTCTCTCTGTCCGCTTCTCCACTTCTTCCCTCCTTCCCCCGCAGATCCTGGATGCAGAGGCTACGGGTTTGCTGCGAGAGCAGCGCAACATGCCAGACTTCAAGCCGGGGGACGTGCTCTCCATGAAGATTGTACGTGCTTATATGAGACGGTTTATGCATGGTAACTCCGAATGTTGGAAGCACTGTTTCCGTTGTCGCAAAGAGCTTTTGTGCGCACAAGCCGGGCTTGTGCTCAAACCAGCAGCACAACATGCCAGACTTCAAGCCGGGGGACGTGCTCTCCATGAAGATTGTACGTGCTCACGTCTGAGAGTTTATGCATGTTTCCATAGCAGGATTGGAAGAACGGTTAGCGCAATGAACGGCTTGCGCTCCACCAGCAGCGCAATATGCCAGACGTCAAGCAGGGAGACGTGCTCTCCACGACGATTGTACGTGCGTTATTCTGCGGGTTTGTGCACGTTTTTATGGGAAGATCGGAAGAGCGGTTAGCCCTTGTAGTGACGTGACGGGCTTGTGCTCAAATCAGCAAGAGCGCAGCATGCCAGACTTGACTTGAAGCCAAGGGCGACGTGCTCTTCATGAAGATTGTAGGTGCTTGTTTTAAAGGTTTGTGCTTGTAAACCTGGTCATCAGGGAAAAGTGGGGGAGCTGTTAGCGCCGGTAGTGAAGGGAGTGTTGGCGAGTACTGATGAGATGAGTGTGTGACCTTGCCCTCCCTCACACCTGCCCCGCTCCCCCCCTTCCCGCCTCTCTCTCCCTCTGTCCCAGAAGGGCTAGAAATGTGCACTTCCAAGTCGACTCAAAAGAAGAGTACACGTCGGTAGTGCAGGGGATTATGTCTCCTTCCTTCTCCCCCACTCAGGAGGTCCCTGATATCAAGCAGCACACACAATCATCAAGGGGTGGTCATTTCTTGCAGGATCTGCTTCTTCCTCTACTTTCCCCTCACGATTATCCTTATCTCCCACTCCCATTTCCTCCCCACAATTCCTGCTTTTCTTTTCCCTCCTTCCCTCTGCTGTCCTCCCATTTCCCCTCCCTCCCACCCACCACGTCCCTTTCGCAGGAGGTGCCTGAGAGCAAGCGGTGCGCGTCAATAGTCAAAGTGATCATCATCGCTCGCAGGCGCAGGAATGACGGCATCAGCTCCGAGCTCCTTCATCTGCTTTCCTCCATCTTACATCCCTTCCTCCCTTCCCCCCCTGCACGACAATATCCCAGGAGGTGCCTGAGAACAAGCGGCGCACGTCAATAGTGAAAGGAATCGTCATCGCTCGCAGGAATGCTGGCATTGGCTCCACATTCCGCATTCGCCGCATGCTGGCCGGCGTGGGCGTTGAAATGTCCTTCCCACTGTAAGTCGCGCACTGTTTTAGTGTCAGTGACACGTGTCACTTTTTGCACCACTAGATGCCGTTTGTGCTGGCATCGGCTCCCTCTGTGAGTGTCTGAGAGTGAGAGTGTAAAAAGAGTCTGTTACTTTCTTCTGTGCTCACACTGCTGTTCGTTGTTTGTGCCACATGCCGCATTAGCATACGGCCATTGCTAGCATCGTTGGCACTTGCTGGTAGGCTTGGTGCATGAAATGGTATTTACTTGCTTGGCATGGCACCGTGTTTACAGCTGATATGGTGTTTCTAGGATTCCATTCATAGTTGATGATAGTTGTCAAACAAAGCACTGAACCAAAACTCCGGCTCTGTATTGTTTCTGCTTTCCTGGCGGCAGGTACTCTCCCAACATCAAGGAGATCACTGTGATAGGAACTCGGAAGGTCAGGAGGGCGAAGTTGTATTATTTGAGGGACAAGGTCGCCCGTATGTCTGCTGTTTAGGGATGGATCACCAATTAAGAAATTCAAGGAAATCCAGATGAGGATGTAAGGCTTTCACAATGTTATTTTTAGGCATATCAGGTATCTGGCCTGACGTTCCTTTTTCTGAACTACAGCTTGTCGGCGTATAACGAAGAGACTCTATTTGAGCAACCAGTATGCTAGCAGGTCCAACCCAACGGGTCGCATGCAACCCGCCAGGTGTCAGTCAGCCGCTGGCCGGTTCCTCCCCTCGCAACACTGCTTTCGTCATCGCATCCATGGCTTGTACTGTATATCGACGGTGGTGATGGAACGAGCTCTTGTTGACGCAGTTCGCAACAGAGATCCGACGGCTCTTGGTTCGCTGTTCTTGAAAGGCTTTAGCCTGTTGTCTAGGCGGTTATCAGAACCTAGAGAGTGCCACGAAGATGGTCCAAGCCGCGCGGCGAGTGTTGTTGTGCCCGCATGACAGCCGCGCGTGGCGGGAAGGGCCCCACCTGGCGGGCTCAATACCGAACTCCGCGGCCGCTTGGCGGCAGAAAACGATCAGCTCATCCTCCTGGTGCCACTGGAATTCCGATAGTCAAGAGATCTGGTGGCCACGCGACTCGCATCGAGATTAGCTCGTGAAGATTTTCGGAAATGAATTGCGACCGAGTTGTTTCGCCGCCAATGACTCGAACGCAACCCTTCCGCGCGACACCGCCCGGCGAGGGTCTAGTGTCCGACACGAACGCCGCGAGCCCTCATGGCCGAAAGCGCGGGAAGGGAGCAAACAGGCGTTGGCGGCGGCGGAGGGGGGTTTACTCGTCTCATATTTCCTCGAATGGACTCCCTACCATTTACCGTTTGAAGTGGAACCTTAGCTTTGGTTAGGAGCACATCCAATGGAATGCTTTGCGGAGAGCGTGACAGACGATTGATAGTTTCACCCAGGTTGAGGAGTTAGTTATCAGGCAAGAGTGCTGAGAAGAGCAGGTAGAACGGGGGACAGTGAGAGGCCTTTTCTTACAAACCATAAGCCCGTCTAGTGTGTGAAGCTCGTCGACTCTCAGGAAGCCAGTAGTCAGACCATGGCGATGGTCAAGGATCCGACAGCTCGTGTCCACTTCGCTTTGCCAGGAGAAGCTTCCATAGTTGAAATCCCAAAACCACAAAAGCTACAACCACCACCTCTTGCCTCGACCCGCTTGCTCTGCCCGATTGACATTCTTTCTCCAGAGCTGCTCCTTCGAATCTTCGAGCTTCTCGAGACTCACGAGGCGGACGAACCGCATGACGACACATCCCTCGCTTCTCCCTCCCTCCCCTCCGCTTCTTCTTCCTCACTCTCCCAGGCCGACCCTGCTCGTCTCCCCTCGCTCCCAACTCTCGTTCGCAACCTTACCTCCCCACTCCTCCCCTCTGTAACGCAATCTGCGCAATCTACAGTGGTGCGTTCCTCCTCGAGTAATTCCGAAGGAACTATTTGTTACTGTTCCTTTCCTCCTTCAAGCTACGCCACGTTCAGCCATCCCTTCAGCCATGCGCTCGTCTGTTCCTCCTGGTACCGCCTCGCGCGACAATCGCGCTCCGCGATTCGCATCCGCGACGGCCGTCGACTCGACTCACGCATCCTTCCCCTTCAGATCTCCGATTCCGTCTATCCGTCGCTCACGGCGTTGCATCTGGAAGCGCGGAGCCTGCGACGAGTGGACGACGCTTTTCTCGTGAGCCTCGCGTCGCATTGTCGTCGCCTGACTCGCTTGACGATTCACTGGATGTCGCACGGGGACGTCAGCGAGGCTGGTTTTGCTGCGCTCGCTACAGGCTGTACGCGTTTGCAACAGCTCCGCTTTCTGCACGGCACCAGCGCCTTCGGTCTGCCTCAGTCCTTTCAGCTGCCGTCGCTTACGCATCTGACATTAAAAAACTGCCTGGATCTCGCATCGCTACCGCCTAACATTTCCCAGACATTGCCAAGTCTTAGAGAGTTGGAGTTATCTGGTAGTACGATCCTCTGCTGCTTACCTCTTTCGTTGGCTAACCTTCCCGCCCTACGTCGCCTAACCTTGCGAGATCTATCCCGGCTGGCTGAGCTGCCCGCGAATATCGGGCAGCTACCTCAGTTGCGCGAGCTGGTGCTGGATTGGTTGATATCTCTCCGCCGCCTGCCCAACTCACTCGGGCAACTATCGACACTAGAAAGGCTGGTGATGTTGCGGTGCCGCAAACTGGCCCTGCCAGAAGGGTCTGAGCAATTGCCGCAACTGAAGGAGATTGTAACGAGTGAACTGTTTTAGTTTTGCTAGTACGTCAAAACAGCAGTATTTGTTTACTGTGATACAGACTGTGCATTTCCCTTTTGTTCCTCTACAACAGCTTCAATGGAAAGGAGTGCAAACCGTCGGAAGCAACGAATGGGAACAAGGGCACCACTGCCATTTTGTGTACATTGGCTTTTATGAAAACAACGCAGCTGCAGCGGTTGCAATCTAAGCGCCACTTAGGGGCACTTACAGGGTCCAGAACCAAAGTCCCCTCACACTCAGGACAGGGACACACGCCCATGCTCACCAGCGAATGGCGGCACGACACGTGGCGGCAGCTCGTGCAGGCCATGCCAGAGAAGACTGACGAGCCTGTCCTGGAGGAGGCTAGGGATGTAGGTCCGGAAGCAGGCTCGGCAGCAGGTTTGGAAGAGGAGGCAGCGGTACTGGCAGCAGGGGTGATTGGCTTTCCCAGGTCTTCAAAAGGAGGATGGTTGTAGCAGTAGGGGCAGAGAGGAAAAGTTTTTCCTTCCGGTCCGGGCAGAGAGTAAAGAACCAGCTCGTAGTTGTCGAGCGGGCAGGTTAGCTCTTTGTAGAGCTGCAAAGGGAGAAAAGCCACCAAGGAGGAATTGTTGAACAAGGAGAAACAATGGACGACTGATTTGACTAGTGAGGGACACTTGGAACGACGTAACGTACCTTATATCACAGCCACTCCCCTCCCCACCTGACACTCCCCTCACCTTGATGGCGCCGTTCTGAGGCAGGTTGAAGATGTATTCACACGCGGGGCAGAAGGACCATGTGGGAAGGGCACAAAGCAGCCCATGGATTTGCCTGCTACCTCTGCCACTCCCCTCTTCACCTGACCATCAAACTCACGTTGATGGCGCTGTTCTGAGGCAGATTAAAGATGTCTTCACACGTGGGGCAGAACAGCCGGGTTGGTTTCAGCGGCACAAAGCAGGCCATTGGATTACTGGTGCCTGTGTGAGCCATCTACTCACCTTCATAGCGCCGTTCTGTGGAAGGTTGAAGATGTCTTCACACGTGGGGCAGAAGAGCCTCGTTGGTTTCAGCGGCACGAAGAGTCCCACGGGGTTATTTGATCATACATGCCTCATATTTTCAGCCAATTCAAAGCTCACTTTAATAGTGCCGTTCTTTGGAAGGTTGAAGATGTCTTCACACGTGGGGCAGAAGAGCCTCGTTGGTTTCAGCGGCACGAAGCGCATGAATCGCCCGCACTTGCCGCAGCGACCCATGGGCTTGCCGGAGGCAGCGAGAGGAGAGAAATGTGCTTCAAATAACGAATCCATGCGCGCGATCTGAAAGGGAGAGGGGAGAGGGAAGAGGGAAGAACGGGGCCAGCACAGAGGGGATTGTGGTGAGTTTGAAGTGGGCTCCAAAAAGGGCTTGCTGCAGCAACACCCATGGCTTGCCGGAGGCAGCGAGAGGAGAGAAGTGCGCCTCAAAAGAGCGAATCCATGCGAGCAATCTGAACGAGAAAGGACAAATACGAGGCAGGGTAGGGAATATTGGGCGGTTATGGAATCAATTCCAAGGGCACTTGCTGCAGCGACCCAACCAGACGTGGCCCGCCTTCCATCCAGGATTAAAAAGGCCCATGGTTGACGTCCAGACGTGGTTCACCTACTACCCAGGTGAGCAACCGCAGCACCCACCTGGCTGACGAAGTACTTGAACTTTTCAAAGCATTGCTGCAGCACGAGCGTCATCACCCTGCCGTGGTCCGCACTTGTAATTGTGATCCACAATCTCCCATGTCATATGGAACCCAAATGAATAACCATCCCACATACCCACCTGGCTAAGAAAGCCCTCGAGCTTTTCGAAGAGCCGCTGCAGCACGAGCGTCACCACCTGCTGCGGTCCGCCTTGCATACAGAACTGACATGGCCTGTACCAGAAACACACGTGCGTGGCAACATACACACCTGGCTGACGAATTACTTGAACTTTTCTGAGAGCCGCTGCAGCACGAGCGTCACCACCTGGTGAGGTCCGCCTTACCTTTCGAGTTTTCTCATGCTTTCGAGTTCTCGATTTCATCCACAAGTGACCCCCCTCACACACCATCACAGAGACTCACCTGACTGACAAAGTATTTGTACTTCTCTGAGAACTGGTGTAGCACAAGAATCACCACCCTGCCATGGTCCGCCTTGCATCCAGAACTGACATGGCCCGTACCAGAATCACACATGTGTGGCAAGATACACACCTGGCTGACAAAGTACTTGAACTTTTCTGAGAATTGCTGCAGCACAAGCATCACCACCCTGCCGTGGTCCGCCTTGCCCTGTGCGATCAGCGTGATCTGCTGTAGCTTGTTCCTTGTTTCACCATACGCACCCACCTGACTGACGAAATATTTGAATTTCTCTGAGAACTGCTGCAGCACGAGCGTCACCACCCTGCCGTGGTCCGCCTTGCCCTGCGCGATGAGCGTGATCTGCTGCTCTATGAACCGTCTGATGTCCGGCAAGCAAAGGTCCGGATCGATCTGCTGGTACCCGCGTACGAGCGTGGTGCCGAGGGTGGTTGGCACGATCTTACGGCCAGGTGCTACCTGGTTGCAAAGGGAGAGGGAAAGAAGTGAGTGGCTAGGAAAGGAAGGAGGGAAGGGTGGAGCCAAGGGTGATGCCAAGGGTGGAGGGTGGGCACGATCTTGCAACCCGAAACCCTACACACACGCATTCACCCCTACATGAGCGTAGTTCTTCTCGCAGACGTTGTTATGCACAC